TCGTCCCTGCGTCGGCTAATGTCGCAAATGGGCACGGGTTCATTTTGGGTACGGGTGTATCCGCGTTCATGGAATATACAGGGTGTTTCAAATGGACGGAACCAATTTCAAAGCAGTATATTTCACGATGGCAACCTGGTACAATTACACAAAAAGTTACAAACGGTTTAATGAGTTATCAAGTTTTACTAACCATTTTATAAATGCTCTATGCGCCCTCCACCAGCTGTACGGACAACATCGAGACGATAGTTGAATTCGTCACAAACGCCTCTCTTCTCACGTTTCCCTCTGAGGTGCGTGGTCGCCCTGTGCTCTTCCCCTTACATAAACAGCCTGTTTCCTCAAATTGTCGGTACCAACGACGAATGCTCTTTGACATTGGCGGATCAATGCCAAAACGCCGTTGAAACGCACGCTGCACTACAATTACGGATTCAGTCTTTCTGAACTGCAGAACGCAAAACACCTTGTGTTGCGGGGTCACCACCTTGCAAATGACTGAGGCTAGGGGCTGTTTGTGCGCTGGGTGAGGCATCTAGCGGCAATCAATTGAAACTCTGTGGCCCGCCCTTTCAAGTGGTCAGTTTCATTCATGGGCGGTTCGTGGTTGCAGAGATATAGCGATTTCAAATCGGGTCCATCTTTTTCAAACAGCCTGTATTATTAATAACCTCTCCTCCACATACAATAGACACTGCCAGAGAGCCTGCCGCACGCCTGGATTCTCAGTCCAAGGGTGGGGTTAAAGAAAACAGGAAGGTAAGCTGTCAGTGGGAAGATGCTCATTTCTCTTGCCAGTGACCAGTGACCAAGCCATTCCGAAAATACTCGGAATTCCTTTATCTTTCTCACACACACACACGCGCTAAAACGCGGAAATGTCTTCAAGCAACCATCTCAATGGTATGTAAATACTATTCTATTTTACTGAATATAGACATCTTCTGTATACTTATTCTTACTTTTATGAAAATTATTACGCTTGTAATTATTACGTTTGTAATTATTATACATGTATAACAATGTTTATTTTTGGGATGATTCAGTGGTGTAATGGACTGGACTTGCCAATTCGATCGCCTGTCGCGACAGTTGATACAATGCATGTTTTGTTAAATCCACCGGTCTGTCCACCCAGAAGTATACATGGACAGACCAGTTAATAGATCTGAAGGACGCGTGTTGTTACGCACAAATCTTCCAAGAGTCGGCCAAGCAACCCTCTGGAGGGGCTCTCGAGAGCTCCCTCGTTTGGAGGCCCATCCACCAGCAGTGGCATGAGCGAGCAATTGCAGGGCTGCGCCTTTGACCTTTATTATAATAATATTAAGTGGTTTTCGCATGCACTGCCGTTTTGTGATGGAATGCTTAACACTGGTCCACGGTTGAGAAAAATCATCTGAATCACGCGGCTACTTAACCCGGCCCATTCACTCAGCCAACACAATGGGAACCGCGAGTCTCTTTCCAGACACACGCACGCGTATCAATCTCGGCAGTGTTTTGGGAGTAACATCTTACGGCCAGTTATATTCATGTGTATGTGCGAATAATAACCACTTCGTGAAATGTGTGTGTGTGCGTGCTCGATGAAAGGTTGCTCTGGCACCCCGTGGCTTTACCCAGAGCTGCTTGCTGATGAAACAGCTGGGCCAAATTGATGGCGGCTTAAGATAAAGCCAGTATAAACACCACTGCTGTGGGTCTGAATTTCCATACATATTGCGTGTTATGCAATTTAAACATATTTTTGTCAAAAAAATGTGTATGGAAGGAAAAAAAACATTACACTTCGTAAATAACGGCAGTCATTTCACCGAGTTCACTGAAAAAAAACACACAAAGCTCCACGAACATGTAGCGAGTAATTACATACGTTTAAACGCATTTACAATTAAATGTCGCAGTAGGAACAACATGTTGCTTTGATTTGAAATATTTTTAAATGAAGCCATGTATTACGGGAATTGAAACGTATATTATTCCACATATACAGAACTTTGGAAGAAATTCGGACTTTTGAATGTAACATGTTTTAAAATATAAAAGTATAAACAAGGTTTATAGCGCACACTTATTCCTTGTTACCTTTTTAAACTATTTCTGTTTTGAAACATTTAGCCATTGTTGTTACCCAATTGTATTGCAATTATGCTGTCAGCATCATGTCAGGAGACAGAATCCATTCAGAAATCCTGCAGTGTGACCACGTCAAGCAATGGCTACAGTATATATTTTTTTCAAAGGGCTTATAAATAAAAACTCAATTGAAGTTCCCTTTTTATAATTTACATAGTTGAGGTCACATTTTCCCACACTACTGAGAGACTGGCGGATGGGAATCAAACTATTATATTTAATTATTATAGCGTGAAACCAAATTTTGTTTTGTGCAGTCATTGGTGACCAGGAATATACTATCATCTCGCTACACTTGAGTTGTCCTTCCCCGAAACACCGATGAGTTCAAAGTACACATACTTGAGAGCGTCGCTTTAATCATGGGTGGCTGAAACATAGATTCGAACCCAGGTGTTGATCCAGTATTCTAACATATAAAAACTTCCAGCTTTTCTCAGAAAGTGATTCTTACATTTTTAATAAAATTGAATGTATATTTTAAAATATATACTTCCAAGTCCGGTTAGCACTAGGGGAGGGGTTCTGGGGTGGGCCCTGTCACCCCCGAATCTCCCCTTGACCCACTTTATTTTACCAGGTAAGGCCCATCGAGCTATATAGCTTTTTCAGAAGCGGCCTGGCCACATTATAACGAAGTGGCTTCTCACGTGGAAAGTTAGAGCGGCCAAATACTCTAAACGCATGCTTCTAAATGTGGAGGGAAAAAACTGGACCCGGAAAAAAATCCACATGACCACGGGGAGAAAGACATGCAAACTTCAAATATACAGACGTCAGGGTCGAGATTGAACCTCCAAGCTCATGCATAACAGGCGAGGTAGTTCACATCTCGCAACCGTGGCTCCCAAGTGGTGTGTCACTGTTATGGTGGCTCCACACACAACAGCTCCACTGCCCACCTCGGCATCCGAGACGAGCTGGAGCCGGGCCTGCTTCCACGTGTTTTTTAAGTAAAGCCGAGTAGATTACTTTAATAAATGCCCTGTCATGTTAAAACTACAGTACTTGGTATTTGGTGGCTTGCTGAGCCGAATGGCAACACTATGGTAAGGACACAAGTTGTGTACATTTTCAGTATGCAGTATGTGAATTAAAAACCACATGATTCGCTCTTTTGTCAGCTCAGTTGCAGAAACAGGAAACTGAATATAAGTTCCTTCAAATGCGTACGAAGCGCAACATATTACAACAGCACTGTGGTTAGGGCATGGCAAGGTCAGTCATGCCAGATGGTTGCAAACGGTTTAATATCTATACAAGTTGTTTTTGTCACTCAGATGCTATCCAACTACAAAATGCCTGAATACAAACATTTTAGTGTCGTGCTTTCACAGAATTATATGCAATTTATTTTTTATGAAACGTTTGCTTCATCAATCACACAAGGTTTGAGATATTTTTGTAAAATAAACCCAATTCGGTACTGCGTGTTTTCCCGAATGGAATGGAGACTCAACATATTTGCAGATTGACATTGACCAACCTGTTTTGTGATCATTTTTCTTGCATGTTATATATTTGCATATGACCAAATTACCTGTAATTTGCCCTATTTCTTCAGATCTCAGGTCAGTTGATTTTAGCCTGGGCAGTACTTTAACGGGCAACCACCACACACAACAGGTTATAATATGGAAATATTGTACAGCGAATCCATTGTTGGTCCTCTTATGTTCCCCGTGTCTTATTCACCAATCCGCACAGACCAGCTTGGTTAAATAACGCCCATGGCCCAGGTAGGTCCTCATCTAGCAGTGGACTGAGAAAGAGCTGTACGAATGACTTTCATTTTCTCAACCCATGTTTATAAAACTGTTAATGGGCACTTTCCAACTGTATCCACTGCACGTGCTTTAACTGATATAATAAAAAAATGTCACTCGAATGCCATCATATGAAACGCCCTTCCACATCCACCAGCTCTACAGGAATATGCTACATGAAGGAAAATGTACTTAGTTGATTAAGATAAGAGTTTTTCACTTTTAAGGAAACAACTTGGCAGTCTTCACGACATTACTATAGATACGATCTACAAGCATTTGCACAATGATATTTGACAAAGGGATGTATTTCTGATGGGCCATACGGGGAATAATTTTTTCACTTAATGATTTGAGAAAAAAACAAGCCTGGGATTTGCAGTGTTCATAAGCGATACCCCAAGTACCCCAAATACCCCAAATGTAGTAATTGTAGGGGAAACTAAATTAACACATTTAATGTAAAATCTTGTTAAGTGCCGAGGCCTATGAATCACCCAGAATTCACCCCAGTCATATCTCGGAAGCTAAGCATGGTTGAGCCTGGAAAGTGCTTTGATGGATGCCCACCATGTGCAAGATATTGGTGTAATAAGCATCATGGGCAGTAGAGAGCAGTGTAGACAAATCCATAGTTGTACTGCACTCCAGCCATCTTCGACTAACCCACACTAACCAGTGTGGTGAAGTATGGTAAAATATCTCTTACAACCTACATCCAGTAGTGGACTGGCAACACAGACTGTACATGTACATGTAATTGCAGAGACAAGAAAACGCTTAACTTCGAACAGTGATCCGAGAACACTCTATAAGAACAAGATGGCAATGAGCCCGAGCAAATAATCGAAACTACAATTGCAGGAAATACTTTTAACTCTTCTTTCAGCACACTTGAAGCATATATAGTAGAAAGAATGCACATAGCGCAGCATTAACCAGCGCCGCTGCCTCATTACGTAAACCACAAATTGGCTTGGAAGCTGGGGATGGGTAGGAATGTATGTATGATAAAAAACATCTGGTAGGGAATGCATGTTAAAGTTTGAGTTGACAACCTCTTACGGGAATATTAACAGGGGTAGCAGTGAATGCTGTGTAGTGTGTACTTTTTATTTTACTTTCACAAATTACACTTATTATCATCCATTTCTAGATGTCCACTAAAATGAGCAATTAGGAAAACAGTTTCATTTGGAAGCCTATATACGTCTTCAACAAATCTCAATCCACTTATCAAGTTCATGATGCACATAGACATGGCGCCATCGTTTCGACAATATTTCATTACTTGTTAAGAATAAAGCTCATTAGAAATCACTGGGGTATATATAAAATGGATCGCCCTGCAAGGCACCCAACCGAAATGTTTCACTGGCAAAAAAGATGTGTGCCCTCTACTGGGGGTAAGCGAGTAGAGGCGGTGAATGTTTCGGTTTCACGCTAAAACATTTCTCACAAAAAAACAGCCACAAACATCGCCGAGAGAGACACGAGCCAAAGCTCAATGGGTGAAAATTAACAGTGCCTCCCTTGTCAATATGCATGCTCGTAGGCTGGCTGGGTCACAAGACCAAATTGATTTAAAGGTGTTCAACTGTAACTATTAAATTGTTTAATTTCATTTCCGAAATTAAAAACTTTTAAACGGTGCACGCCTTTGATCATTTTATTTTCACAGTAAAACTGTTAACGTTAGCATAATAAATTGAAAAATCATATTATATTTCACCATTACACACAGACAACTAATATTTGTTGTCTCGAATGGCCACATTTTTTTCCAAGTTCGCACAATTCTTCAACACATTGTGTTGTATTAATGCCCTTAATTCAGTATTATAGTACCTCGTACATCATCTGAAATGTTGCATTGATTTTATACATATATACAGTACTAGGATGGCCATAAAAAAGGAAGAATTCCACATCATATTTGCTTATTTAAGTACAGATCAGAAACAATGTTTTCTAATTGGTCACAGTCCTGATTCCTGGTCCATGCATGTGCAAATATATCAACAGATAATTAATATGGATTGTGTCAAACAGTTCTGAAAAAAACCCTTTTACAGTATTCCATTAAAAGTACAATTGTGGTGGCATATTCATTTCTCAAACATTGCACTGCATTCCACTGTGCTTAGGTGACTCATACAGCATCATTGTCAATCCCAGTTTTTTTTAATGGAAGACAGAAGAATTGGGTGCAAGTTGATTTGAAAGCCGACTGACAAATAAAGATTCTGATTGACGCTGGTTTAACTTAAAACAGCAATAGGACAGACACCACCACCTTCTGGTGATATGAGTGCACAGCAGCAACATTTTTCACAAGTCATTACAGAGCTCACAAATCTTGCCTTAAAGCTTTCGTGACTGCAGGAATTCATATTCTTTGGGTCTTTCGGTCAAGTCACGTAGATAGGTTCAAAGAAAATAACCCAAAAAACTACGACGTTCCCATCCTACCACCGCACCGATGTTAGTTATTTTCGGCTCTCCCGATTTTACATAGCTCTCAGGGAGAGGTTACATTTCTCACACTTACACAGCCACCTATAGGTTGCAGCTCTGCGATCTGCCATTAACATGCTTATATCTCACATTAACATAGCCACCTCAGCGCGCTCGCCGTGGAGACCGCTCACCGATCTTACATTAACATGTTGTTACCTGGCAGCCCTTCAATTGGTGGAAAAACCCACCACCGTCGCGGTCGCCGTCCACCACTACATTAACTTTAGCTGCCCCGCCCATGCTGCTGACATTTGGGCTACACCCATTTCAAACCTTTATAAACAGGTCCCTGCAGGGTGGGCTGGTAGGACAAGTCTCTGCGCTGTCTACTGCTGATTTTACACCCAACAGCACGAGATTTCACTTCGTTAAAGTATTGAAAGGGGACGGACGGACGGACACATTAATCTATTGCAGGCTGGTACACTCAGTTTACAACTTCGTTCCTACTAGTAACAGTTTGCCTTTAGAAGCTAAACCCCTTTTCCTGATGACGACTGCTTGTGTTGCGATCGAAACGTCGTCGTTTTTTGTTATTTTATTTGAACCTATCTACGTGACTTTACCGAAAGACCCAAATAATACAGAGCTCCTTTTACAGTAATATAGACATTTAATTAAAATCAGTCTTGTAAAACATATGACCCACTCAAAAGGGTTAACATTATGGCATCCAATAGAAGTACTGCTTTTGCATTGATTTCCCTGCCAATGGCAACACAGTACCACAGTAAAAGCCATGACGCAGGCCGTGGACTTGCTGCTCCCCTTCTTCCACGGTGGAATAATCCACCACGTTACTTGTGTTGCTCCATGTTTTGTCGTCTGATGAGCTCCGCATAAAGGCCCCCTTTCTTCAGTAACTCAGCATGGGTTCCCATCTGTCAGTTACAAGACAGTCTCGTTTATTTCACGGCAATTAAGTATCTACTTGATACTATCACAGGGCAATGCAACCCCACATTCGAGAGAAGTAGATATCACAGAACAACTTTGGAGATCTTTTCAAGTGACATTTGAACCAATAAATAAACATTTTCAGAGTTGGAGTATTCAGTAAAAAACTACATTTCAAGTGATTTTTACTTTACACACATTGTGAACTGCGCCGAAACCGTCAACTCACTACACTTGAAAACTCCGTTACATCGCTGACCCTTAATTCAAATGTATGAGCTCAGCGGTCAGCTCAGCCCTCCGACCCCCTGAACAACCTGACCTCTCTCCTCCAAGTGTTCCCATTTTGGAAAGAGACGGGACCACGAGCGAGACGGCCTCCTCCTCACCTCCTGCACCGTTCCACCGGCCACCACGCAGATGAGGTTGGCGCCAGCGACAGTGCTGAGGCGGTGCGCAATGACAAGCACGGTGCGGCCGTGCGCGGCACGCTCCAGCGCCTCCTGCACGGCGCCCTCGGCTTCGGCGTCCAGCGCGCTCGTTGCCTCGTCTAGCACCAGCACCGCGGGCTGCTTGATGAGCGCACGCGCGATGGCCACCCGCTGCTTCTGCCCGCCCGACAGCGTGGCGCCGCGCTCGCCTGAGAGTGGCACCGCCGCAAAACGATGGCTCGTGAGCACAATTTAGAGGAAGAGGCATTTCAAGGGATGAGCGGCCCTCATCTTATCGATACGTAATCTAAGCAGTGGGCTGTCCAACATGGGCTTGAGGCTTCGTTTATCAGAAAGGACGTCGTAGTTGCGACATGGCCTAGCACGTTTGACACGTGTTGAAGAAGTTCGAGGTTTGAGGCGAATGGCCGCCCTGGTTAATACTGCGGATGTAATTTTACATACTCGGGCTCTACATCACTGATGGATGAAGGCCACCCCATGGCATGTCGGTCATAGTCATGGGGGTTGTCTGGCCATATTTTACCATGATAAAGTTGTTGTCATTAACCCTCCACCTCCTGATAACATTGTCACGTACACAAAGCGGTTATATGTGCCCATGTATTGATAACATTCCAACCAATGAAGTTGGACTTTTCACTCAAACTGCTTTCAGCTTTAGCATGAAACAACCATGGGGCCTAACTACAAACTACAAAACAAATACGGATATTTGTAGAGTATTGGCAAAGAAAGCCTATGTTTTAAATTCACCATGCTATTAGTGCGAGTGGGTGAATAGGGGAGGCCTCGAACTGGTTCAGATATCATTCACCACTGATGTTAGCCATGGCCGTGAATTGAACTTCGGTCACTGGGCACGTAGCCTGGTGCGCTAACCACTGTATCACCGCTCCAAGACCAGAAAAATAATACCATGGAAGCAGGCCAGATCTTTACATGTGGCAAATTCTGAAGTCATCGATCGCAGCGTTCTCACCAACAACAGTGTTGTATCCGTCAGGGAAGCTCCTGATGAAATCGTCGGCATTCGCGAGCCGAGCTGCAGCATAAACCTCATCGTCTGTGGCTCCGGGCTTCCCAAAGCGAATGTTCTCAATGATGGTCGTGCCGAACAGCACAGGCTCCTAAAGAGTGAAACATGCAAGACGACGGTCAGTCTGCTACTCTGTCAAACAGCACAGGCGGGATGACAGTGTGCCAAACAGCAGCGGCTCCTGGAAAGCAAGACACATAGGACCATAGATCTGCTGCTATAGACTCACGAAACTTCTGTCACCTTGCACACATTAAGAGTTACAGCAAGCTGCATCAATCAGGTGTGTAATTATTTAATCCCCCAATACCGATTTTATGTACTGCCAAAATCTGGGGGTCACGATTTGATTTTCAAAAATCTATTCTTTAACTATACTGTCTTAATTGTACAGTCTAACCTAGACTGTCATACACTGTAGTGCCTGCATCCTTTGTATGCAACATTTCATCTCGTGTTTTGCGTTTATTGTTTAATTGTACTGTCTCTACCGTCTGATTGCGTGCTGCTGATACTGTCTCATTTGTACAGTCTCATTTATGTACCATGTCTCACTTGTTCTGTTTGTCTTGCCAAATTTGCAGTCTGGTTTATACATGAGCAGTCTCGATTATTGATATCTTTAGCATAAAGGTAAATTCAGCAACAATGTGCATTTTAATCAATGAACCTGCATACTTACTGTGGTGTAAATGGCCGATAACTACCTATCAGTTACATCATGGGACCTCATTTGCCAGTACCAAAATATGAGAATAGGTTTTACCCTTGTTTCTGGCAAAAAAACAGGTGGTAAGAAGTTAAAACACCAAACTGAAACCATTTACAAGGAATCATGTCTGCATTAACCACAATACTTGTGGTCAGAATGCAAACAAAAAACATACTCTGATAATATATGCATCGTCTTTGAAACTGATTGGTCCACACCAGGTCCACACCAGAGACAGCTTTCTTTTGAGCCTAGTCCCAAACGGTGTTAGACCAGAGGACATCAAAAGGCATACAGCACAAAGACAATGCCACTATCAGAGTAATGAGGGCTCGGGATGGCATCTACATCATGGGACCTCCTTTGCCAGTACCAAAATATGAGAATAGGTTTTCCCCTTGTGCATATATTATCAGAGTATGTTTTTGTTTGCATTCTAACCACTAGTATTGTGGTTAATGCAGACATGATTCCTTGTAAAAGGTTTCAGTTTGGTGTTTTAACATCCTAACACCTGTTTTGTTGCCAGAAACAAGGGGAAAACCCATTCTCATACCTATCAGGTATTTGTGCAGAATAAATAACAATGAGGTGAATATCCTATTTAACTAAGAAGGAGGAGAAAACATGTCTAAGAGGCCAACTGCCGTGTAGACAGAGCAATAAGATCAGTTCATAAGCAGAAGTGAGATTGATGGTATCTGCACTGGACCAGGACAGATTGCGATGGTGTGGAGAGCTTTTGATGCATGACGATGAATGTCCCAGCATGCATTCGTCATATCTATCCCTGGAAACTGTGGTTATATTTTTGTTGCCGTTACTTGGTTGATGAAGCCGATAACTCGGCCCCGTAACCAGGAGGGGTCGAGAGTGCGAAGGTCCTTCCCGTCCAGCGTGATCGAACCACTCGCTGGGTCGTAAAACCGCTCCAGAAGCGCTGCGACTGTCGACTTTCCTACGGTCAACGCACAAACATCACAACAATTGGCTCTGTCAAAAAAACAGCGGAGCTGGGAGATTCAGCACCTCAATTATTTTTAGTCGTTTTATTTCAGCCAAAATGTACACATGCGAACACTGCGTTGATCACTCACCTCCTCCAGACAACCCCACAATGGCAATAGTCTGGGAGGGAGGAAGGTTCAGGCTGAAATTGTGCAGGACCACCTGCCCTGGCCGTGTTGGGTAGCTGTGTTCATCGCACGTAGGATGCAACAAAATCCCAAAACACTTAAGTCACACACCGTAATTTGAGGTGTGCAAGGCAGAAAATATAGGGCGCAAGAACAAGCATGCGTGTGGGTGGAAGTGCAAACCTGAACGTGACGTTGTTGAAGCGCACGTGGCCGAGGAAGGAGTGGTGGGGAATGATGCCACCACCTCGGACTGGGATGGAGGGCTCAAGCTCCATGTACTCAAACAAGCGAGCGCCTGCGCTGAGCCCTCGCACCATCTTAAAACAAACAGCCGCATAAGCCCTTCACACGATGCTGGTACCACAATGACCAAAACACGCTCGGCTCCTTTTAAAGGTCAGAGCACTGAGCTGGCACCGCGGAGATCCTCCGTACACATCTGAGGAGTCGGCCATAATTAAACCAGGTTTCAAGGGTACCGAGTTTGAGGTCTCAGCCTGATGACTGCAAATAACCATCATTATAATTGGGTCTGCAATTCATTTAGCTACATTTCAGCTGTGAGAATTAAAAATATTGCTGTGACTGTCATGCAACAAATATTTATCTCTTTAACAGGGTGCATAGGAAAGTGTGTCCCCCTACTGTGTGAAACATTGGTTATTTGAAGATAAACAGGCAGCTATTTGATATCTACTTCCATGGGTTATTTTTTTCACATGAAGGATGCACTGTCCTGCGAGAGATCCAAACAAATACTTTGTCTCATGCCACAACGCCGATAGCAAAATTATGATACATTAAAAAAAAAACACATGTTATGTTGACACATACCTGTCCAAAGAGAATGGATACGCTAGCCATTGACCTGCAAATAAAACAATCTATTTAGCAATGGGGGTTGAAGTAAATACTATATCACTCTACCAAAAGGTAAATGCATGAATCGCTTAGAACTTTCGTGACTGCAGGAATTCATATTCTTTGGTTCTTTCGGTAAAGTCACGTAGGTAGAAAAATAATACAAATAAAGTGAATAAAAATATTAACATTGACAGAAAAAATTTCTACATCTGATTGGGAACAAGTAGATAACATGTCAGATAAATGTAAAGATAACCTGATTTCCAAGTTCAACCTCCATTGCAAGAAGAAGCCAGATCCACACATTTAAAAGTTAGACGTTGACAAGATTGTTATTAATCCGAGTAATAGCCCAATTTCCGATGGTCTAAAGTCGGTTTTGGCTAAAGGGTTGAACTTCACAGTCATCCCCAAACACATACCGTTATTGCCCAGGTCGATGTAGCTCTTAAGGGTTTGGGACACATCGCTGCAGACGTGAAATGATCTGAAATCGCTGCAACCCTCAAAAGCGCTAATATACCAGTCAGCAAAATCAGTAAGGATGAGCGTTTTGAGTTCTAATTTTAAAAAAGAGGGGTGATATCGTCATCCTCTCAGCCGACAAGGGCAATGCCATGGTCATCATGGACAAAACCGTGCACAATCACAAAATTCAGGACCTACTTAATGATGGTAGCTACACAAAAATTAAAAGAGATCCTACCAACAGCCTCGTTACAAAAACGAACAGTATCATCACTGAATTGGCTTCATTAATTGAACAGACCAAACGGTTTTCCTTAAAACTTTCTGCTGCTCGACCACCCAGATTATATGGCTTACCAAAAATCCATAAAGAATTACAATACCCCCCCTCCGCCTCTGGTCTCTGCACCTGATTGGGTTAAATGATGACGTCACGCTGCTGTTCTACTTAATACCAGGATCAAGTGGAGGGCTTCACTATTCTGTCAAATTGCCCGATGACGCTAGATGTAATTACAAGCAAAAACGTCGTACTCAAAAATAGTAAATGTTGTGGATTCACTCTTCAACACATCGGTGGGCTAAAGTAGTAAACTATTTGTCTTTTGTCAAAGTGACACATTTTTTACTTTATTGGCCGTGTCGGGTGGTGGAGGGTTACGACACATTAAAAAAGTAACGCGATCTAACCCACAAACCGTTATTATGAATAATATTGGTGGCGAAAGCCTACGTGCTAAACTTAATAACCATTGCTATAGTGTACATTATAGACTGCCAGTACACTCACCAAACTTAATAACCAGGCTACAGTCCACATTAGAGATTGCCAGTACACTCACTCTGATTAAGAAATAGGCTACAGCCTACATTAGTGTTTTTTTAAATATTTAAAAAATGTATTTTAATAATTGTATTCACATTATTTTTATTATAATTTTTCTATCTACGTGACTTTACCGAAAGAACCAAAGAATATACATTAATCACAACTGTGAAAAATATCGATAAAAAATATAAAGAGATTACAAGGTACCGTTGCACAGTCTGGGAAGCAACCAAAAACGACATGAGTTCTCCAGGAGAGAGCTCCTCTCCAGCCATGAGTGAGCCACCAACAAAAATGGTGCCCAGTACAATGCCTGATGAAGCATGGAAGTTTTACAAAGTGTGTTACTGAAAAAAAACACATTAGTGGTGCAAAAAAAATTGCATAACATTAAGTTCAACTTCTTTCGCACCACATGTAGCCAACCCCCCCCCCCCCCCAACATTAATTTTCTGGTGTGCTACAATATACTCACAATTAAGAACAATATTGGAGAGGCCTTGAAATATTGCTATTCCAATCCCTAAATCCTCATTCATTTTGCATGATTTATCCACTTCAACTGCATACTGCCTACAAAGACAAATGGAGACAAGTGAGCATATGAAATTTGAAGATGGTTAAAAAAATGTTAATGCTGAGGAACAAACAGCAAGCCTTACTCAGACTTGCTATCTTCCATAGCAAAGGCTCTCACAGTCCGCACATTGCCCAAGGTTTCATCTGCTACTCCAGTTGCCTTGGAAATCTGCAACACAGTAGAAGAAAATTACCTGTACGCAGATTATAACATGTACTGCTAATTTAGTGCACACAAAGGACAGGAGGTACAAGAACAATATGCATGCATAATTTGCGTTGATTACCATATGAATAACCCACCAGCCAATGGATACTCATTGTCATTTATATGCATTCATTAATCGCACGTGAAAGGGCTTACAAATTTGGCTGTCCACCTGATGATGCTGGTTGTAATTACTGGCGAAACGTCATACTCAGATTATAAATGTTGTGGATTTGCACTCCAACACACCGGTGTGCTGTACTCGTAAAGAATTGACATGTTCTGTTTTCGTGACAAAACCTTACTAATTGCCTGTGTCGGGTGGTGGCAGGTTTAACAACACATTTATATTACCGCGACCTAACCCAAAAAATCTATATTATGGACAGTACAAGAAACATGCAATACTTTGCAACTACAAACAATAAAAAAACGTGACTTATTATATTGACATACGCTAATAACATTTTAATGTATGTATTTATGGGGTAGAGCCTCACTAAGCTTCAAGACTCTTATATTATATGCGAGGGTCACACTGCTCAGAATCCCAGCAAGGAATATAGGAAGAACACAAACTCAAATTTACGGGAAGCACCATATTTAAGAATGTGTATTTAATCTGTTGTAAATACATTTTGTTAATACAGACCTGTTCTTGTGCTCGCCTGGAGAGTTTACGCAGGAATGAACCAATTAAAGCTCCACCACCAACCATCGCTGTCATCACCACCACCATTAAGCCCGTGAGCTTGGGGGAGATCAGATACAATGAGGCCACGCAGCCAACAGTCTGTGTCACACTGCGGAGACCCTATAGGAGACAGATGCAACAGAAAGCATGACATCAACAGTACACACGAGTCCCATAAAACTGCAATTAGAAAGTAAGACAAGTCATGAATGCAAAAGTACAATTAAGCAGACTTTACTTGGGAAATGACAAGTTTGAAGGATGACTTAAACTCTTGGACATCCGAGGTGAGTCGGTTTACAAGGTGGCCTGTCCGGTTAGCATCGAAAAATGCCACATCTTGCCTGCAAAATCAAACATTCGCTCATTCAAAACCTTTATAAAATGAGATATTACAAACATAATACAATAGCGTTGCTCTAATAGTAATTCCTGATAATCAATGAAGAAAATCAAGCAAGTTACGAGCGTGGCGTACGTAAAACGTGGTCATTGAAACATTGGTGATATAGCAGTGGCTGTAGTGTATGCATTAAAATGTTAATCACAGGTGTCCAAAACAAAAAGTAACATTGTGACAGACAGCTTATGTTAACAATAAGTAAATAGATAAACAAACACACCTGATAAGTGCCTCAAATAGGCTTTTCCTCATAGAGGCTGCAATCCTCTCACCAACTTGGGAGAGCAGTGCAATGTATCCAAAGGTCAGTGCTCCCTATATGCAACAGACATGAATCTGTCATATAAAGGGACTGCAAACAACATTTCCTGACAACGTATAATTAGAAACATTACACAAATTTGATTATAGAGTGAATATATCATCTAACCAACTGCACGGCATTTTGTACACAAGTGCAGAGCCGATAATGTTTTATTACCACATGTATATCCCGATTGTTGCTAATACAATTCAAGCATTTACCTGGAAGCCGTACATGACCAGAAGGCGAGTGGCTGGCAGCCTCATGTCTGCGAGGTAGTCCCCTGCTTGCTCCTGCACGTAACGAGACACCACGTTCACCAGCTCCCCCAGCAGCATGGGGATCTTAATGTTCAAAATGGCAGCACCAAATGCCAGCTGAAAAAAAACCCACAAAAACATGATTAAAATCAAATAATAATAGAATACGACGTTTCGGTTGCAACACAAGCAACCATCATCAGGTAAGAATGAATGACAAAACACAGACACGGGGAACAGGATAGGCCGACACATGCAGAGAGAGATACACACAAAGAGACACACTGTCACTCTGTGTGTCTGTGTGTGCCTATGCTGTTCCCCGTGTCTGTGTTTTATCATTCATTCCTACCTGATGGTTGCTTGTGTTGCAACTGAAACGTAGTACTCTATTATTAGATTTTATTTTCTACGTGACTTTACCGAAATAACCAAAGAGTCATTCCTGCAGTCACGAAAGCTTCGAATCTAGTATAAACATTATTCTCAATGCATTGAAATGTTTCATTCCTATTGCAAAACGAGTACATGAATGACATTGCTAATAACATATTTTCCTTAATTTGTGTTCAATCTGTTCACCATTGGCTTGGGGCACTTCACTTCATTATAAGGAAATAATTAGCAATACATGTTTTGCAAAACTACTCACCACAACAGCTAAAGCCAATGCCAGTATCTCCTTATTCAAGAACTTCCAGAAGAGTTTCCAGTTGAAGGATGGCTCGCTGTTGTTATTCACATGTATGTTGCTCTTGTTATTGTTAATGTCCACATCACAGTGAACTGTGCGACCACACAGTCTCAGCCCCACTACAAGCGAAGCACTCCCAGTGAAAAACACGGCCCGATAGGAAGATGATACCGCAGAGCGCCCGGCAGCTCTGCCCACTCTGGCCACACTTGTCCCCAACAATCGGCTCCAGGTGCGTATGGCACTGTCCAACGTGCCATTCTTGCCTAAGGCAGAGGAGCCCAGAGGCCATCTGAAAAGCGAGTTGCGGGACAACACAGCAAATTAAATTTCGTACATTCACGTGCGTGTATTTAAGTACAAAAGCATGCAAGTTATGTCAATAACAAATGGCAGATGGTCAACAATAGTGAAGTGGCAGCCAAGGAATGGAATGCATCCACGAGAAAATTAAGTGATGAAATCAGTGTGCAGGTGTTAGATGGATTATTGTGTCACTGAAGAGTGGAAGATGGAGAAGCCTTAGGGAGGCATCCATCCGGAATTGGATTGATGACCATGACCTTTATTTTTCAAAATGGGGCCAATTGAGATCAAGTTATTTTAAAAGGAGAGCTGCCTCTTAAAATAGCAAAATAGATACAAGTTACAATAATGTATTAGTTGCTATATACCACGAGAAAACGCCAACATTAAGAGCAATTAAAACAACAATTACGTTGATATGAATTGTTTCAAAGTTGGATTACATTCTACCAGTGTTGAAGCATTGGGCTGAAAGCTCTCTTTTAACTTACTCGACCTCAGCATCGGCACGTAGGGGCTGTTCCTGGTGCTGAAAGGGAGCGCTTTTGAGTGCCATTGTTGCTGAAACGCCACTTACGTTATTACCAGTTGTGACAAAACGGAATGCTTTCGCAAGTCTTAATTTCCTCTCCATTAACATGGGAAGTGCCATGGCTTAGTGGTCGCGCACTTGCCGTTTTTTACGGAAGATAACGCTTCTATTCCAGCGACCGCCCTGGTTATTACTGCGGGTATTATTAAGCATAAAACATGCACACCATCTGCTTCACGGTGGACGTTAATAATCCCATGATGTAATTCGCAAAAGTAGGCTATTGTGTGCCGGCGTCATGGTCCAAGTTTGAAAAAAAAATACTCGAAAATTACTCAATCGGAATTATGCACAGCAATCATTGCAAAAAATTGGCAGGGCCTTCCTTAAAATTAGTCATGAGGCTCAATGGAACTTTTCTAGGTAAATAAAAGCATTATAAAAACATAAACATCAAGCCATACATCTTTGCGCTGTGGCTAATTCTACAACAGATTTAAACGACTGCCTAGGGGTGAAGGGGGAGGGGGGACATCTCACCGGTGAGCGACAGCGCCTCCTCGAGCCGCCCCACGGGCTGTCAGCTGTGCGGCCCCGCGAAGGGTGGAGACGCTCGCGCGCAACGTTGCTGTCAAAAGGTACATCGCGTCCGCTGGAACCCAATTAAACCTTCACCGATGACATTGGCAGGACAGTAATATAGTAACACTACCCTGGTTTCAGTGACCCCTTCAAGTGCTCCAATGGGGGCTATTCATGCTGTGCTTTCCAAGCCTATTGGGACCCAGTCCAAAAACCTCACGCACTAAAGTTTCAGTCTCTAATACGTTAACAATAAAATAACCCCCCCCCCCCCCACACAACTACAAAGCAAGTTTTAAACTTCAGCCGTCATTCGCCACTGAGACGACGGTGTGTGTGCCACCACTGCCAGCGGCTTTGTGCACTTCAACGAGTGCACATGTTTCGAATACACACACTGCACGCGTACGGCGTCTAAATAAACGAGAGAGAGCTCAGCAAACGCAGCAGCGGCAATGACTCCTCCAACAACCTCACCGCGCGCACATGGGCGCGGCCATGTTCGCGACAGTGAGGGGTGGGGTGGAGGTAGCCGGCGATTGACATCACGTCCGGTACGAGGGGGTTGGGATAGCCGGTAATGGACGTCACGTCCGGGACAGGGGGGTTGGAGCCGGCGATGGACGTCATTTCCGGTAAGAGGGAGGGTGGGGGGTGGTAGCCGATGATGGACGTCACATCGGGTACGTGAGGGGGTGTGGTGGGAAGCCGGTGAAGGACGTCATGTCCGGTACGAGGGGGGGGATGGTCGCCGGGGTAACCGGCGAGTGCGTCACGTCCGGTACGGTCGGGGTTGATAAATTTGTTTTCATATTCTTTGGGTTTTTCGGTAAAGCCACATAGATAGAAAAATAATAATAGAAATATCCCGACGTTTCGATCGCAACACGAGCAATCGTCGTGAGGTGAAAAAAAAATCTAGCGGGGAGAGCTGCTGAAGCAGGGACGTTATTGTACAGGTCTTGTTGTGGCGACAAACGCGCGCGCGTAGTGACGTCACGTCCGACTGTGTGACGTCACGGGTAGGCGGGCTCTCCGCGTCAGTTCGCGGCCGTCTGTTTACCGGACCGCTCGCTGCTCTGTGACGGCGGCAGCGGCAGCGGCGGCGGCTTCTCGCAATTCGCCGCGCGTTTAAATAAAAAAAATATATAACAACGCACGAAGCCAATCTAGACGGACTCCTAATGCGTTTTAAAACAACAGGTACATACAACAGAAATGTACGAAATACCACGTAGCGTTTAGAGTCATTGATGAAGCCGAGTAGTTTCGTCGAAGGGAAGAGAGGCGGCGGCTGCTGCTGCTGCTGTGTTTTTTTGACAGCTTGACGCGGTGTCGAGGTTTAAGAAGGGGGTGGGGGGGGGTATCGGGACGACCGTCATCGGCCGCGTAGGAATCGCGAGCGCTCGCCTCATTGTTTAGTGCGGAGCGCGCGTGGTTGACGACAGCGGCGGCGGCGGTGGCCTCCCCTACGGGCTGACGCTGCGGGGAGGGTTGAGTTATAGTGGCCGTGCGTGCGGTCGGCTCCCGTGTTTTTTGTAGTTTTCCGGTGGCAGTCTTGACGTCAGCGGGTTTCTGCGAGCAAAGTCAACTCCATGGCCGTTGCCTGACCCAGGTGAGTTGTGTGTCTGTACTGGTACAGTAATTAATTTGGCAAGGTCTCTTTAACAGGGTGATGAGAGAGGAAGGTGCCTGACGTGCCGCTATTTTGCCAGGGTGAGAGATAGATCCATTTGCTGGGTTTGTTGAAGGGATTTTAGGGGACCGTGGCCAGGGACCGGTCGATATCTCACTCGCAACAGATGTTCGCCTTGGCTGGTTACGAACTTGGGTTTCAGGGCTCGTAGGACATTGTGCTCACCACCGCGACGCCGCTCCACTCCTCTGCCCTCCCCCCATCGTTTGTGGTCTTGTTTTTTAAGCGGATAAGAGGGATGAGGAAGGGGTATTACATACAGTCTTTATTCAACCAGTTGCTGAGAGGTTAATCCTAACGCTTGTCTAACCAGGTGTGAGGTGGAATATTGATGGCGCATGCCTACGTAGTTAATAGAGGACATCCGTTTACATTAGGCCCTTTTTTAATTGTGTGAGGAAATACATTGTCATGGCACTCGTCTGATCCTATGAGAGTTAAGGCCCGGAGGCATATGTCTTAGCAAGCTGAGCGGTAGAATCAATTGGTTCTGGTAATCGTAGACTTAATTGATATGTATTGTGCATTGTTCATATGTAACTATGTGGCAGGTGAGGCAACGATGCCATTTGTCTTACCAGACGAGAGGGGGCATGTTTATGGCTCTCTTTGTTTGACAAAGACGCAAGGCCAAAAACAAATTGTTTTCATTCCGTAGATGTGTATTTAGGCTATGTGTCCGAGACTGACACAAATTTGAAGCTTTGTTTAACAAAAACACACCCAACGTATTGTCTGTTGTGGTCCCATAACGTTCTCGTCATGCAATTTCAGTTATGTATTCGGGAGTGACGTTGCATTGTCATGATTATAGTGCTATGAAAGCACATGTGACGTAATTTTCCATAGCAAACCTTCAAATGCGTACCTGGCAGCCCACAACACACATCCTAGGTAGACATCTACAAGCTAAGAGCTGTTTGGTGTTGTGTATGCTTCGAAGGAGGTAAGGTTGGTGAAACATTTACTATCTAGGCCTTTGTTCATGTGAGTGTTGGGTGGCACACACTGGCCCAGCTCGCCACTATCCTTTCACCGGGCAAAGAGAGCCCATTGATGTGGTCACTCTTGTAAGGGAAACCTGAGTGACTTGTTAGGCAGGGAGATTTGTGTGAATCTGTATAGCGTAGCTATTGGCCATCTGCTGTGCCCAAAAGCCGACACTGGCTGACTAAGCTTGTAAGCTAATTGTTTTTGGCCGCGGCAGTCTCATTTCATTGGCCCCTCCAGCTGATGGACAACACGACAGCGTAAAAATACCGTACAACCACCTCACTCTGACAGTACAGTATGTGACGGACAGTGAGAGTGCTGTATTGCTCTTGAGTCTTCGTTCGCTAAAATGTGGGCGTTGACCTGGAAGGAAGCACAGGACTTTGGTATGCCTGCTAATGTCCGAATGGTCAAACAAAGTTGACGGTTTTGGGGTCATGGTAATGGGAACAGCTTCCTGTGGCTGCAGGTCTGCCGCCTGTCAGAAGGTTACTCTGGTAGCAGCTCGACCAGCGACTCTTCTTTGTCACTGAAAGGCCGCTACGACTATTCTTAGTCACTGTAACAAACCGAAACAATGGACTTGTGGTCAACGCTTCCCTTTTTAAAAGTACAGTTTTTTCCCATTGATAACTACGAGAGGTTTTTCTTAGACAAAAGTTGATGCTGGTAGATCGCAATCCCAACGTGTAATTCGTAAAGTCATGATGCTCAATTTCGTTTGTTGGAAAGGTGACGAGGTTTAGAAATGGAATGTGGCTGTCTTGCAACCCTGTACAGAAGAGGTGGAATCCTCTCCTCAAGCGTCTGTCTCTTGTCTTGTACAGAAGAGGTGGAATCCTCTCCTAAAGCGTCTGTCTCTTGTCTTGTACAGAAGAGGTGGAATCCTCTCCTCAAGCGTCTGTCTCTTGTCTTGTACAGAAGAGGTGGAATCCTCTCCTAAAGCGTTTGTCTCTTGTCTTGTACAGAAGAGGTGGAATCCTCTCCTCAAGCGTCTGTCTCTTGTCTTGTACAGAAGAGGTGGAATCCTCTCCTAAAGCGTTTGGCTCTTGTCTTGTACAGAAGAGGTGGAATCCTCTCCTAAAGCGTTTGGCTCTTGCCTCGTGGCGTAAACACTGTAGAACAAAACGTCACCTTCCTGTTTACGTTCGCACCCCATATAGTGAGCAGTGTAAATGTGTGCTTTACAGCAGGCTGGAAAACCGGAGAGCTGACATTTGAGTCACGCAGCTAATGTGAAAGCCATACCAGGGTTAATGGTTTTGTTGAGAGAGTATAAACGACCTTAAAAAGCATTTGTTATTACGTGTACAGTATACGAAGTGTATATATTTACTTGCAGAGTTTTGATGCCAATGAAGGATAATGCATGACTGTTTTCATATGTTTTAAAATATATATACATTTCTGTGCAGTGAACCATTTTAACGATGAATTATTTCGAATTTAAAATGTGGGCTTATTTACATAATGGGTTACACAAACTAGGCAAGTTTGTCAAGTGTTGCGGTGATTCATAGCCTGCGAGTGGAGCAGTGCCACAGTGTTTAACGCATTGTACAGTGCTATGAGTCCGGGTCTCTTTGAGTGTGGTTCCCTGCCTTGGCCAACAGTGGCGAGAGAGAGAGAGTTGAACTGTTCCTGACCCCCGCTTCACCAAATTGCTCTGACAATCGTGAAGTATGGTAAAATACCCCCCCATGAATGACAGCGGTAGCGGCCTTCATCCAGCATCTGATTTGCATTTCTTCCTTCATTGGGCCCTGTCACGCCAAAATCGGGTTGCTGTTTGTGGAGTTTCTGTTTCCCCGCCGTTCTGTCATCGGCGTCTTGTTCCGAGCTCGCGTTGAGTTGTAATAAAAATACAAAAAACATATTAATTGTAAGATGAAGTGAACAAAAATGATTGAGAAAATAAGTTTATCAGCATTCCACCTAATACATCTGATAAATTATTGGTTTGTTGGTAATAATAACCAGGGTATAGAATCACGCTTATTTTGTCTTATAAATTTAAGATGTTTCCATAAAGTTTCAAATGTATGACCTGTGGATTTAAAAAAAATTTGGGATAGTAATAGCACATGAGCTAAAAAAAGTTTAATATGGCATGTAGAGCAACTTTAATATGTAAATATGTAGTAATGTTTACCGCTTCTTGTCATTCCATTTCTGAATGAAGACCTCCCCCACGCCGTGTCGGTCATAGGGTTGTTTCACCATACTTCGTCATGCTCGTTTCTGCGGGTTAGTCAAGGAGGCCCTTAGGACCGGTTCATATATCATCTCGCCACTGATGTCAGCTGTGTCCAAGAATCAAACTCGGGTTCGCGGGTTCAGAACGCATTGTACTAACCATTGTAAGTTGGTATGTAAAGCATAGCATATATATCAATGAAAGCATCTATTAAATGAAGTAAACATGTCATGCAAAAATAGCAATGCAGTAATGGAATACGAGCGATATTAATATGTGCAGGGTTATGCACCGACCGGCATCTGCTGTAGACATGTAAAGACGCGCGCTGATCGATCCAGACAGAGATGGCGGAAGCGGAAACAGGCTATCGCAGGCTGGACTCTTACGATGATGAAGAGTCCCCGAACCATGAGCGGGAGGTTCTCGTGCACGTTCCCGAGGGCAGCAAAGGTACACGTTTTTCACTCGCTGTTTAATTGCCTGATTGAATTGAGTTAATGCTTTGTTTTAACGTGAATGTTTTTTTTTAAACTTGAAAGGAAACGGAGATGTAAAATACTTACAAACATGTGTTCCTGGCTTGCTGCCTCACTTGCACTGTCCCTTAGACTTATGGCTCAGGTCGTATTGTAAAGTTAACGTTTTTGAGAAATGTGTTAGCTGTTTTGTATTTTACGGTGCACATAATAGACGATGCCAAGAGATGCACCATTTGGTGACTTGACTAACGAGATAAAACACATGTCATACAAAACCCGAGCTTACTCAGTGTTTTGAACCTACATTTTCAGATTGTATTCATAATTATTTACTTCAGAAGTATAAAACTGTAGTCATGTGGTTTCTTGTGCCCCTGAAGGTCAACATGTGTTTTTTTGTCACTGCTTCGTATTCATCTGCAAGGATTAAAAGCCCCATAATGATATGCGGTACAAACATAACGAGAAATATCACCCTGAATGTTGTAGCTTATGATAAACATTGTTACGTACCCTGATGTCATTTAGAAAGCTATTGATTTAATGGAAATTTGTACAGTAGCTTTGCTTACATAGAACATTGGGTTCTAAAAAAAATATTTTTAAAAGTGATGCGTGTCATGTGAGTGGTGTCCTGTTATGTGCTATTTTAAGGGAGTAATCTATAAGGAGGTGACTTTGTAAACGGCATGGTAGGGAAATTTTAGTAACTGTCTTACATTTACATTTTAATGCAGGTGTCCCTCGCATAAAGCGTGACACGCATTCCTGAAAAACGGCACGTTAGTCAAATCGCGCTGGATGAAGCCTATTTTTCCATGTGAAAACGGGGGGTGTGTTACCAAAAATATAATTTAATTATTTTACCCCTGAATTTACCAAGCACGTATACATTTAATACGTAATAATAACATAAAAAAATACTTAAGAAGTTTATAACAAATAAGATTAAAAAGGTTACTTATTATAAAAGTTACTGAACGCTTCTGTGAGCAGCAGACAATGCAAACAAAGTTAGCAAATTTAAAATGGCTATGCCCAGCCCTGTGACGTGATGACGCCATCAGAAATATATTTTTTTACCTTGAAATTTTCTAATTGAAACTATATATTGTTATATTAAATTAACATTTTTTTGAGCATATAACTATGAAAACGCATCGCGTAAGTATGTGAAGTATGACCCTAATAGATGAATTGCGTACCTGCGAAATTTGCGCTATTGGGGGAGCGTGTTACGCAAGTAACGCCTATGTAATTGCTGTGGAAAATTCTTTGTTTGTTTTTAAATAACTGCTTGTTTCATGTGTATGTTTATATTAATGTTAGCTGTTTTTTTATTATATTCTTTGGGTCTTTCGGTAAAGTCACGTAGATAGGTTCAAAGAATTTTTTTTAAAAATATTAATGTTTATATGAGATTAATGTTATCTGGATGAGTAATTAGACGTTCTGCTTGGCTGTATACTGATATTATTCTGCTTCTAAGCGTAAAATGTCAAATGTATTATCGAAACACATTCATGAACTTAACCTTTATCTACTAAAATGCACTCTAAATAGTAATTTAATAAATTGGAATTATATATAGCAATGATATGACTTTGTTTTTAAAAGTTGATAAATGTAATATATATTAATAATGCTCTAAAAGTATATTTTTTATTATTTCAGCCCGGTGGAACCACATTGAAAACTTGGACTACTTCTTCACAAGAATATCCTTTTTATGTGGCAGAATTCTAATAATTAAGTGTTTTTAATCTTTCAGAAATGCTGTCATGTAAGGATGATAGGACCAGCAATCTTTTAGAATGTAATTCATTGATCCCTATTGCTTTGTCTTTTAACTGCATTAAAACCTTCTGGCAGCTGGGGATGTACATTATGTCAACTACTGGAAAACGAGGTCACATCCTCCTGTTGTTATGACCCTAAAGGTCTGGTTCTCTGAACAACCTGTGCATTTGACAATTGCCACTTGTCTGCTGTATTAGAAACAAATACGGTGAATTGCAGTGTTACCATGAGGGCACTCGTGATTTGTATGTGTCGGCAGCGGTGGTGACTCCTTTATTAAAATACATTGAAGCTGGAATTATATAGCATCTCCATGTAATTGTACCTCAAGATGGCATTATTGAATGCTTTGCATGGGGGTGAGAACTAACAAGCTTTTTGTTGCAATTTTTAAAATATATATTTATGCTGTCGCTAATGTAAATCTTATGTAGCTCATAATCATTTTCCTTAAGAATGCCAGGCCAGTTTTCTGACACACTGAGATCTCACTTTCCTCTTAGTGACAGTAGAGAAACGTGTTGATATATTTGTTTTTGCCTGTTCTTTTTTATCCACAATGTTATCAAGTAATTTATCAACAATGTTATATCAATATATGAAAATGTTGAGATATTTAACATTTATAAATACTATATAAAATATATACATTTTCACATTGGTGAGGCTGATTTTAATTTCTCAGCTAATATATTATTTTTATTTGAGAATGTAGTGAATATGTACTTTTTGTTGTTGCAACATTTAACTTTTTCAATTAATACTACTTTGGTATAAGAGGAATAACTTTTTACAGATAATCATTTAAAATGGTGCAGACTTCCCAATTTTTGACTTAACTTTCGTGACTGCAGGAATTCATATTCTTGGTTCTTTCGGTGAAGTCACGTAGATAAAAAATAAAAATAAAATTAAGAATACAAATAAATTGAAAATAATAAAAGCAAAAAAATCCACGACGTTTCGATCGCAACACAAGCGGTCTTCATCAGGCGGAAAAAGACCGCTTGTGTTGCGATCGAAACGTCGTGGGTTTTTTGCGTTTGTTATTTTCAATTTATTTTTTATTTGAATTTTATTTTATTCTTTTTATTTTCTATCTATGTGACATTACCGAAAGAACCAAGAATAAGACTTCCCAATGTTGCCGTTTCTGGAAAACCTTGTGGTAGTTGTGAGTATCATATGTACAATCTCTTCCAGGAAATGTCCTAAATTGTTTGTAGGTCACTGAACTCCCAACCTTCCGAATTTGTTCAAAGGTTTGCAGTTACTCTAACCAGCTATTGTAATTGGATCCCGATTTTTGAGCCTGTGTATACATCGAAATGCAAATTTGCACATTGATGTTTATGTTTGTGAAGATGATTATCTTACGTTTTGGCACTGCTGACTGTACAGTAATTTTTCCATCGTCACGTGTAGAAATGTAATATATTCCACACCATTTGATCTTTGTTTTACCTCCATTGAGATAGTTGTTTAGTTCGGCACATTTCCTAGAAGAGATTTTGGGTTTTGGGAGCTTCCCGTCAGGTATGACATTCGGAGCTCTGTTTAAAACAACTACGTTTTTACTTCACAGTAACTTTCGTTCATTGTTATATACACTGTCAGACTCACTCTGAAAATGTAGCTTTTTGGGCAAATAAATCAGTATAATGTCTAGTGACAAAATCAGATATATCTAGCATTCTGACCTTGTACTTTTTGCTCAAACAATTAATCATTAAACACTATTGATAGAGCATAGTATTTATAATAAAGTTATCATCCATAAAGGGGGGATAGTATGATGACTTATAACCCCTGTTCACATTTGATGGTTAAACAGTAAACCATGAAAGGCTGCTATGGTGACATGTTTGTTAATTTTATTGCTGAAGCTTTTGTGTTGAACTCTTAAGTTTAACTTGAGAACACATTGATTGTTCCCCTCCTTTTCCTTAATTAAATGTATTACATATATCATTTCCACCAGAAACATGGTTTTGCCTGCATGATGCTAGCAGAATTCTTTGAATTGGTGTAAGTATATATTTTTTCAAAATTATTTCGTTGATACAAATGTGAATACTGTGTTAAGTATATATAGTCTTTCCTGTTGATCTCACGTCTGGATCACAAATTTGTTTTACAGACAATTCCTCTTTGTTGTGACCTTCACCACGTTTCTGATCAACTGTGTGGACTACGATATCCTCTTTGCCAATAAGCAAGTACATCCACAACCCAGCAGAAAAGTGACTCTCTACGATGCTTTGCTTTCCAGTGAAAAATGTACCGAGAGGTAGGAATGTCTATTTAAAGTCTTGACCTTCACACATGCTTTCAGTACAATTCAGGTTTGCCAAGAGCTCAAATCGAGTGGCCAAGTATAATGATGTACATATAATGTAAACTTCTGAATTATTCAATGCTCTGACTAATACTAAAGACAGGTACTTTTGAGATTTGTTTCCAAGAAAGGTGCTGAACATAAGTCCTTATTGTATTGTATGCTAATTAAGGGAATATACACAATTAAGTGGTGGGTGATAAATTGCATGATTTACAATACTTTTAATACAGTCTTATACCTTTGAAACATTGCTCTTGATTATAGTGTATTATATGACATTACTATTACGTGAATGAGTCCATCAAAACCACATGACATTTTGTGAACCACTGTGCCAAAATAATTGGCAGCTGTGTTTTGAATATGCTTTTTTTTCTTGAACTTGGGTTGGTATACCTGTGGTATTTACAAAACTATTCTTCTGTCTTTTAGCATTGCCTACAGTTTAATACTTATTTCTACCCGGGGGGGGAAGTTATTTTTTGAAAGACCATTCACTTAAAGATATTTTGTTTCTGGCGCACAATCGCTCTGTTCAGATGGCAATTATCAGGCTGTCACATTCACAACAATATTACAAAGTATTATATTGCCTTCAGATAAAAGCGTTATTCAACCAAAAATACAAACACTTCATGCATTGAATCAATGCTAAAACTGAAATTTGTGCTCTGCCTCATAATTTGAAGGTTTGCATTCGAAGTTAAGCTTTCGAATCTGCTCATGAAAGTGTGAAATTACCTTTGTGAAGTAGATTAAATGTATCTCGGTGTGTAGCACATTTCACGTTCTGAAAAGGGAATAACAATTTGCACTAATGTATTAATTAGCCAAACATTGTTTGTAAGTGGAGTTTGAGAATGTAAGTTGGTGACTGTTGTGTTGTTATTTTCATGCCTTTCATTATTTTTTGCTAAAATATATTTTTGTCATTTGTGAGATAAACAGCATGAACTACATCGTTCTCAGTTGTTTGTTGCCAGTTGGTTTATTGATTCAGAGGGCATCCAATATTTGGTAAAAAAAATGTCTGAAAGTACTTTTGAACTATTTCACATTTAAAACATGCTAATATTTTTTCATTACGAAAATATATTCAACTAAATGAAGGATTTTATAATTTGTGTATTGCCAAGTTGGACTGAAGTATCTCAGTTTCACACCAGTCAAGATGTGTATTCTTGGTGCCACCAGTTAGGTGACAGCCACTATGAGGATATGTGCGAGCAATTATGAACTAGCACCTGTTTTGACCTGGGGGGGGGGGAGGGAGCGTGGGGTAAATTCTAGCCCCTGCGTCAATTTATATTGAGAAAAGCACAGACAGGCTGTTGCCATGCGTTGGTCACATTTTGTTTTGAAAATGTGTGTGCGTGGCAAGGACAAAATTAGGAGTGAGTCACATGCTTTGCTCACGTGTTTCATTTTCCCAGTGCAAACCTTGGGACATACACAGGTGCTGTTAACACCATATGGTGTTAATGTTTACAGAATTGTCATCAGTATTAGATGCGTGGAATTAAGTATGCAGTTATAATTTCTAAACAGCTATTTCAAATAATTTTAACATGAACAAAGTCTGGAACCCATGACACTGAGTAAGCACTGTACACAATCTGTTATTCATTAAAGATAGATTTGGCACATGTTTATTTATGTGTAACATCACATATGTGTGTGTTTTTATACTATGTTAGGTAAGGGATAATTGTACTAATTGTCAGCTCTAATTGGTGTTGACATATAAAAAAAATTGTTTTATAAACTGCTAAATGTATGGCAGTTTATGAAGTGGATACCTTTTATAATATAGAATCATTAAATGGGAGCTAGATATGTATATCTGTAATTACATGTGTTTTGGTCTTTAACGAAGGGATTCAATAATATTACTGTTGATGAAAAACAACTCCAAATCTTAAACTGCTTTGCAGTTGTAAACACATAAAAACCTGCACATGTCAAGAGGCGGTAATCTGCTCCCTTCGTCTGATGCATGAGCAGGATTCGTGGAAACAGTTGGATCATCTTCCTGATAGTGATGGCAGGGACATTCTGGCTGTATCGTCTCATCAAGGTCATCTACAACTTCTCCAGCTATTTAGAGATCCGTGCTTTCTACATTAACGCTCTCAAGATCCCCATGGTTAGTGGGCACATGCAGTGGGTGCCTTGAGAAAATGTGTGGAACACCTGTGACACTTTTCACCGTGTATATATTGTTTATGTATGTACGTTGCTATGAGCTGACTTGTTTTAAAAGTTATAATAGAAATGACAATGAGACAAAACTGATATATTGCATATGCCTTGAACATTTTTAGATAATGTGGTGCAGTATAAACATGGTTTTGGTATTTGATTTTGGTCATGGCATTTAAAGTAATATATATTTTGGATATTTATTACATTCACATTGTGTAACTTTGGTAAGATCAGGCATATTTAATGTAGAGAGCAATATTTCTAAATGGAACAAGAGGGTATGTTTTAAACTGAATAGATCTGAGGATTTCCCTAAAAGAACACGATGCCACTGTATTTTGTGTTGTGTACCGCAACCATGTAGCCCATTGATGAAGCATATATTTATGACCTCTATTTGACAATACCTGAAAGTTTAACACGTAGGCTTTTGCGGCCAATATCCATAATACAATTTTTTTTTGGGTCAGATCGTGTAAATATGTGTCATTAAACCGCCACCACCTGACAGTTAACTAGTAAGGTTTGTCATGTAAACAGAACATGCCAATTCATTACTAGTACAGCACACCGGTGTGTTGGAGAGCAAAGCAATAAAACCTGTATTATGAATATCTGAAAGGTTCCACCTCTTACCCAGAAATAAATACTGTATTGTGATTGAATGCACTTATTTACAGTGGTAAAAACATGAAAATACCCACTGAACACGAAAGCAGATCATTTTGATTTCCAATAAGCTTGGAAACATCAAGGCTCATGCTTATTCCACCCCCTACTGGCAAGATTTGGAAATGTTTTTAAAGATAATTTGCAAACGTGGATTAATGAAGGTGAACGTTCGGTGGCACAGTAGTTAATTCATTGCACTAGGAACTTAGCATCCTGAGTTTGGTTCCCAGCCATGGCAAACATGAGTGACGATGTATAGCTGAACTTCATTAACCTACACTGACGCATGATTAAGTATGGTAATACAACCCCTGTGATTGACACAGCGTTGGAGGGGCCTTCCGGTATTGAAATGACCAAAGGCTGAATATCTATCCTAAGGATCTCTACCATCCAGATTTTTGCTACTACACACTGAATTTGTGAGACGTTACACAAAGTTCCCTTCACCATGAAATCACCAGAGAAGAATTGGCATGTAAATATGGAGTTGTGCATTTTCGTGTGGTGGCGCGTACAGGCAGAGCTTCAGAACTTCTCGTGGCAGGAGGTTCAGGAGCGTGTGCTGGCAGTGCAGAAAGAGCAGCAAATGTGCATCCACAAGCGCGAGCTCACCGAGCTCGACATGCACCATCGTATCCTGCGCTTCAAGAACTATCTGGTGGCCATGGTCAACAAATCGCTGCTGCCCGTGCGTGTCCGCGTGCCCTTCGCCGGCGAGAGCGCCCTCCTCACGCAGGGCCTCAAATACAACCTGGAAATGCTGCTCTTCTGGGGCCCTGGCGCGCCATTCCAGAGTGCCTGGAGCCTTCGGCCCGAGTACAAGCGGGCTGGCTGCCGGCTGGAGCTGGCTGAGCGACTAGGCCGCACTATCTTGCTCGTTGGCCTTGCCAACCTCGTCCTCTGCCCCTTAGTCGTCGTCTGGCAGGTACCGTGAGTGCGACATTCCATATAGTGCGCTGCCAGTGCTGTAGTCGCACGTCAGAAATGTATTTTCCACAAACACTGCCCATTAAAAAGATTGTAAGCCAACACTTTTGCAAATGCAAAACGTTGCATGAATATCAGAACGCCTGATAAATTAATACAGTAGACTCTCAATTATCCACGTGCGGGTTTATCTGATTTGTGGATTATCCGCCGCACTTCAGATTTTGGCATGAATGACTCGTGGATTTTCCCTCAAGCCCAAATTAATAATCTAAAAACAGTTATACATTGTTAGTCTTAGAAATGTTGTTTACACGTGACATGCTTAAACTAAACAAATATGTGCTCCAGTTAAAACGAAAATTCACGTGATCGCCTCTGCAGTACAATAGTTGCATATCTTTACAAGTGGAGGGAGTTTTATTTTCATTGCCGTGGCACTGCTATTGCTGAGTACGCGCATCGATCGCTCGATTTTTTTGCCAATTTTAGTTTTATATTCTTGGTTCTTTCGGTAAAGTCACGTAGAAGGGAAACAATAAAATAATAAAAATATAAAACAATAAAATTCTCACGACGTTTCGACTGCAACACAAGCAATCATCATCAGGTGTGAAAACCACAGCAATAAAATGTTCTTGCTGTGGTTTTACCGAAAGAACCAAGAATATGAATCCCTGCAGTCACGAAAGCTTTAAATCAAAATTTTAGTTTTGTTCATTAACAAGCAAAGTTTTCTTAACTTAAACATAATTTAGACCAATATTAGTGTTTTTTGGCATAGAGATCTGCGGAAATTTTCTATTTTTAGATTATCCGCATTTTTTTATTTCTGCGGCAGTCCTCTCCATCATTGGCGCGAATAATCGAGAGTCGACTGTGATCATATTGCCAATTTAATATAATCCGTTTTTTTGCAAGCGATCTTTGTAACTGTAATTATATAATTTTTCATTGAAATCATGTTCTGGAAAAATGTATCAATATAAGATTATTGAACATATTTTTATTATTCACTGCTGTATATGAGGTTCTTTGTGTACAGTATATGGAATCTATCATTTATGAATGGGGTTCTCTGGCCAGGTGTTGCATGCCTTCTTCCGGTATGCGGAAGTGCTGAAGCGCGAGCCCGGTAGCCTGGGTGCGCGCCGCTGGTCCCTGTATGGGCAGCTCTACCTGCGCCACCTCAATGAGCTGGACCACGAGCTGCGTGCGCGGCTGGGACGTGGATACCGCCACGCCGCCAGGTGCTTGTGCCGCACGTTAACCACATACCTGTTAACCCATACGATTTGCCCGTGTTCGTGTACAGGGAAATTTGAGTTTTCAGGTTCATACGGCGTACAGCCGTTGCAATATGGGCAACATTTTTTTTGCCTTTTGTGGTTCTCCCTTGTGATTGGACTTTGTAGGATGAACGTTGAGATTTATAAGGGCACGGGGTGACCAATAAGATCTGAATTGGTCTGTAAATAAGGTAGGCACTGATAAGGGGTTGACAGTTATGGAACCACTACTGCGCTGAAGTCGGATAGTAAGGGCTCCCTACAGCTCTTCGCATTCTTAAAGCAGGATACAGCTGCGGGTTTTGAATTGTGGCAGTAAAGGATGCAAATGCTAGTGGGTGTTTGGGATACTTGCAGTGCCTGCAATTGATAGGTTATTTATGCATGACAGGCCAGCATCCTTGAGCTAAATATTTTGTGTAATCCATGAGGATTCAATGAAATTCTTGCACTATTAATCAAGTTCAGTAATTGCCTTAATAAAATTGTCTCACTGCTTATTGTCAAGTTTAAAGTGCAGAATCCTTCCATTCAAGGGGCTTCTCTCTTGATGTGTGGGGATAGGTACATGGACTCGTTTACGGCACCTATGATGGCTGTGCTTGCCAAGAACGTGACGTTTTTTGCCGGCTCATTATTGGCTGTGCTGCTGGCGCTTACGGTGTATGATGAGGATGTGCTGTCCGTGGAACACGTGTTGACCGCTATCACGGCACTGGGTGTACTGCTCACCGTCTGCCGGTAAGTGAGCACGATTTCTTCCCAAATCTGATCCCTCATTTTTTTCCGTATCTAGACAATTAGAATATTTTTCTAACCACCCCCTCGATATGTTCTGTGATCCTTTCCAAAGGGCATTTATTCCAGATGAACACCTGGTGTGGAACCCTGAACACCTGCTACAGGCAGTTCTTGCTCACATCCACTATATGCCCGAGCACTGGAAGGGCATAGCCCACAAGACAGAAACCAGAGATGAGTTTTCTCAACTTTTCCAGTACAAGGCAGTAAGTACTACAAGAGCCACAATGCATGTTTATGTATACCCCGATGTGTATATAGCGTGTTTTTATTTCCCTGATTGCTATGGTTATATTTTACAGTGAGTAAACAATTAACAACAAGAGTAAACAATTATGGCTGGTAATTGAGAAACTTTTTGCGTCCAAAATGCTAATAGGCATTCATCATGGAAGAGCTGCTGAGCCCCATCATCACACCCTTCATCCTCATATTTGGTGTGAGGCCAAAGGCCCTGGAGATTGTCGACTTCTTCCGAAACTTCACTGTGGAGGTGGTGGGCGTGGGCGATGTCTGCTCCTTTGCACAGATGGACATCCGCCGGCATGGCAACCCCACGGTCTGTGGATTCATCGTTGTCCTTTGTCGTCGTGTGATAATTACCCAATTTTATCTTTTTCATATGAATGCTAAACTTTAATTAATTTAAGTGGCTTAACAATTTTAGAGTCTCAGAATTAATTAATAAGCCAAATATCAATCCATTGCGTTAACTTAACTTGGTAATTACATTTTTCTCTCCCTTTTAAAATACAGTGGATGTCAGCAGGGCAGACAGAAGCATCCTATTATCAACAAGCCGAAGACGGGAAGACGGAGCTCTCTCTTGTTCACTTCGCTATCTCGAATCCCCGCTGGCGCCCACCACGGGGCAGCAATGTGTATCTCAACCAGCTGAGAGAGCAAGTGCAGCGTGACAGCACTGCCAATCCGCAGCCCCTGCTTTTCAGCTCATTGCAAACTATCGAGTCGCAATCAGGGGTCAGTAACATTTGAAACGGTGCATGCACAACAAGATAATGCTTTAGTGCTATGTTTTGCTGCCTTAGGTGGTATACATTTCTGCTTTGACCCATGGACTGTCTCTTCTTCTTTGGTGACCGCTGTTATTAATCTTGATGATGGACCATTATCCAAAAATGTTGACATTGCTTGTTAAGAAAAGTGGGCTTGGGCAGGCCGCATTACAAGATTTGGTAGCCGATGGATGAAACTGATGGAACACTTGTAATACTAAAAGTACAGGTTTTTTTTCTGCATGAGGTTTTTTCAGTGTTAAAGAGAACTTTATAATCACCAGCATAATCTGCTTTATGTGCACTCTCAAGTTACTGTGCAAATCAGATTGAACACGTGGTGTGGCTTTATCAGTTTGGGGTCATGGTGTACTTTAAAGTATTTCTATTCCGTGTCTTATTACTTAGTTTTTACTGCATTCATGATTGAATTCAAGTCGGGAACATTGTGCTTCTCTTTTACGTTTCGGTGTTCTGTGCAGCCATACGGCTTGCTGGGCAGCATGTTGGGAGGCCCTTCCTCGCTGACGGCATACCGATCGACACGCGACGCCACCTGCAGTCTTCCTGAAATGTCTGCGGCTACGGCTGCTGCCACAGCACTTATGTCGCTCTCCATGCCATCTGCGTCCCTCACTCCGGGGCCCAGGGAGGAGCTCGCCGAGATGCCAGATTCCACCCCTGGAAATACCACTGTGACCGCACGCCCCGGCTCATCCACTGGCGCTGTGGGGGGCATGTCCATGAGCACCGGTGGTAGAGGAAAAGTCAGGTATACAGCATAGTTTCGCAATGAAAACTTTATCACGGTAGTAAATGTCCGGTATCAGTTTTAGATTTGACAGGTCCTTATCTTCATGTGAATATAATGCAGACTGCTTTGACAGAGACCAACCTTGTCATAAGACATCAGCTCTTGTTTGAACCTTAGTAGTGTCCAACAAAAAAACATGCTCTGGTAGTATACGCACTCTCTCTGGTGTGGACCAATCAGTTTCAAAGACAATGCATATACTACCAGAGCATGTTTTTTTGTTTGCATGTTCACCACAAGTATATGTGGTTAATGCAGACATGATTCCTTGCAAAAGGTTTCAGTTTCGTGTTTTAACATCTTAACACCTGTTTCATTGCCAGTAAGGGTAAAAGCCTATTGTTATATGTTGATACTGGAAAGAGGTCCCAAGATTAATGGTAAAAATTTGGAAAAACTCAAATGTACCCACAAATTGGGATTACACATAGCAATCAAAGCCCCCTGCTGGCAGACTAATGCCGTTTTTAGGCCAAGTGCCTCAGCAACCTTGTCACTTGGGGTGCACTTTCAAATATTTGAGATTGCATGCAAATTATTTCTCGCTTGTATAGTGTTCCAAAATATGCCATTGTGTAAAGAGCACCCCATGAAAAACAAATACACTCAGAATTGAAAACAAATACACTCAGAATTGTAGGAAAATGTTTCATAGTCGTGTCTCATGTATCATCAATGCATTGTTGAATTTAATGTGTTTTGGACACTGTTGCAGTTTCGGAGGAACGGATTTCCGTTCCAGCAGTGTAGGCAGCAGCTTCAGGGAAGGTCCTTCACAAAGCAGCATTTTATCAGAGTTTGCTTCGGCCGAAATGAGCCTGCACGCGATCTACATGCATGAGGTATCTTACTAGATTTTGTGCCATACAATATCCATACCTTTATTAGACATGGGGCATTTAAACGAAAAGCATATTTGAGTAATTACGTTTTGTTAAATTATTTTGTGCAAACGTTGAAATGATAAAGTAACACAAACTGCTATATGTTAAACAGTATTCCTTTGAATAAATGTGTAAACAACAAAGTTTGGTATATTGAACAATAATAAAATGGGTTTCCAACATTTTTGACAGAAATAGTTATGCTTATCAGGATGCTAGTATTGACGTATTTATTGAAAACTGTCTCATGGTGTTTCTGTAACCAGGCACGTAGGAATTATGCGACAAGCGACGCCCAGGCTCGGTACCACTGGCAGCAGCCTGAGAACAATGGAGACGATGACACAATGGACGAGGTCAACGCCCTGTCTGGTTTCAGGGAGTCAAGTTTGCAGCTGCACAACACTGGCTCGAACTCTGGTTCGCACTCAAGCTCAGTTTTGGGCTCGGGCCAAAGAGAGACGTATGTGTCTCCTTCTGCAAGCATAGGCCACTCTGGGGACTATATGCCACCCAACATTGGCTCCTTGCAGGACACTCACGGCGACAGCCTGGGGCTAATGGTGACAAGAGAGAACACAGAACTAGGTGCATTCCCCTTTCGGCACTACGGTGGCACATCAGGTGAGCACTCGAAACTTCACCCGTTGTCTTTTTCCAATGACCAGTACTAATAAAAAAATCTTTGAATACATTAGAATTCCATTACAGTATCATGCAACACCTTTCGTTTAACAATTTTGAGTGCCTTATTCTTACGTGGTAAAATAACTTAAACCATATTTTGGAAAACATTGTTACTGACGGAATTGTCTTTTTGCCTAAATTTATTGAGAAATGTGCAAACCAATGCTAGTTTTCTTCATGGTTGTGTCAATGGCTTGTGCTGCTACACTTTCATGTTGACCCCTAAAGCATCGGAAAATATGCTGCAGCCCGAGCAAGGCTCTCCCAGGTTTGGGTTAATGCCCATGGGCGGCTGGCAGGAGGACATGGCTGGATTGGGGACCATTGACCCACATGGGGGTGTGCCCAGCTGCATGTCTCCCAACCCGCAACAGATCAACGAGGTTGCTTACACTTTCCACTCGCTGTTCCTTAACACTTGATATGAGTTTATAGTTCATTACTAATGCAGGTAACAAAGTATATAAGGATAAACATGTCTTGCCTATATAAAAACTTTGCATTAAAAATTTAAAACCAGGTACGTTTTTTTATTCCTTTGTTAAAAAAGTAGAGGTTTTTTGTCAACGTTTTGACCTTTCTTTGCATATTTAGTTTCTCAAAGCAATATTTTAACTTTGAAATGACATGAACCAATGTCTTTCCATCACAGAATTAAATGAACGGCTGCTCCTGGAAAAAATGGAAGTGAGCTCTACAATTACTGGCATCTCATTTGGCCAGCAGTGGCAAAAGGGTGTGTGCATCCTGTGCAATGGTGATTGTGCTCAATGTAACAAAACAAGTACTGCATGTACTGTTTAATTTAAATGGAAATGTCTGCATCATTTACTGCAATTGATGTCCACTGTGTAATTGAAAAAATGACTGTGTTCCTTAGAGCTTTAAAAACACATCTCTTTAACCTGCGTAGGTATTTAACTTTTCTTACGTACTTTAATTTGTTGATATGAAAATGTATTAAAACATTAATGCATGCTTAGATTGCAAGTTTATATTGAAAACTTAACAGTTTTTGAATCAGTGGTCAAAAGCCACATTCTCTACATTAATGCTGCAGTAAAAGGTAAAAACACGGTTGTGAATTTACCGATAGACAAATGTGGTAACAGATGCTGCAGCATTTTCTTCCTGGCAAAAACTGGCCAATAAACATATTTTATAAATGTAACCATTGAAACCTAGGTTATTACCCGAGCTGTAAATAATTACCGCTTCGATGTTAACTATTCGAATGTAAGTCTCACGCATCCACTTTTTACTTTCTGCAAGTATACCGAGAACAACATGGTCATTATTTTAATTGTATTTTTTTTTACAGTTTTAATACTTAAGTGTTAAGATGTGTTGTGCTATGTACAACATACACAAATACAACGATGGTGTAATACTAATACATGCAATCTGAAAAGAAATTATTTTCTGAAAGTTACCTATTAATGATATATTTATGGTGCTCATATGCTAAGCTTAAAACCGTTTCTGATCTCTGTTCAGTTGTAAGACAGCACTTCCCCAAAAGCTCATCCCACCGGGTGGCGGTGTTTGACCTTTAAGCCGTCTGATCCATGCCATTGCTTATGAATACATGTACTTTGTGCGTGCGTGTGTTTAAAAGGACAAGTTACCCAGGTAATGAAAAGTTATAATGATGAATATGTAAAATACGTGTGTAAAAATTACTCTGCGTATGCAAGTTATGGTGGAAGCTTGCATACACTGCCATGTAGTGGAATTTTAAGGCTGTTATTCCACTGCCTGTAAACATGGGCTCAGTTTGACACTTTTTTTAATTGTACAAGAAACGCTAATATAAGAATGTAATATAAACATTTTCAAATAGATTTTTTTTCATAGCGATGCACTGTTAAATTGTAAGATATTTAATAAATTAATATAAAACCATTGCCCGTTTTGTAAACTTGACTGCAAATGACGTGTTCATGTTTTGTTGATGCAAGAAAATAATAATTTTATTCTTCACTTTCTGAACACCTGTGGACATTAAAAAAAGCTTTATTTCCATCAGTTTATCGGCATTCAAAGTGCACCACAAATATTGTGCCTTGGTCCCTTAACGTCAGATAAAAAACACTGATTTAAACATAGATGCGCTATTATAAAGATATTGCAAATGGCTTGCAAAAAGCTCACAGAGGCTACACAATACAAATGTTATAAAGCAGTACAAACTTTACGGCAGTTAAAGCAGTGCATGTTTTCAAGCAGATATACACTACACGGATGCTGTTAATAATTACTATATTAAAATAAATCACATTACTTTTTTTGAGTGAAAAAAAATCATCCCGAAGCTTTGCTTGGGAGGCTCAATATTAATACTAGGTTTCACGTTTTAAATGTAATAAGCAATTTGGTTTTTAACCACGTGTGGGCATACGCGCATGTGCATTGGACGAATACTGTGCAGGGAATGGCTGTGGCTGGCCAAACTTGATGCAGTTAGGTGTTACGGATGCCAAGGGCTTGTTCCAGCTCCTGTCTGCGCTGCTGCACCTATAAGTACAACACATGCAAGCAACAAATTGTGCACCTAAGGACATTCAAGTACATTGTATATGATCTTGCATTATGGTTCCAACTCGTGTATTCGTGAATAAATGTGCTGCCAGTTACAAATACTTCCAAGTGTTAATGGCAATTATTCTGAATACTTGGACCAATGACATTGAGCGTAATGTTAGTCTATATGTTATAAATCATTAACACTTATATCTGTAAACCTTCGAAGTTGTGAAAATGCTGTTTGCCGCAAGACTGCACGAAATTAGATGAGCGGGTTAATGTTTTAAGTGAAGAACAATTTGGGCGGGAGGGAGTAGGATGGTTTTGGCTACCCATTTCCAGGAAATAATTTGCAGCAATGTCTAGTAGCATGAATGCAGCAGTTTACATTGTATTGTCTGCCATTTAAACAGCGACACCATAGACTACTGGTAACTTAATCACGAATTAACACCATTCCACAAACAATATAATGCAGCATGTCATGCTTTGCAGACTATTAAACATAAAATTGAAACATTTAATGTGACTCATGTCAGCCAATTCAAGGATAACATGAAATGTGCACCTTACCTCAAGACGGTTTATAATAGTGTGAATCATTTCACCATTGTTATTTAAAAGACAACATGTTTACTCGCATGCTTTGAGTTAATAAAGCAAGATCTGGAATCGTATATTTTCACATTACAAAATTATAAATGAACAAATAATAGCAACTGAAGGCTATTAAAATGGCTTATTATTAGGTATACTATTCATGGCAAGGAAATATTAACTTGGAACATTGATACAGCCTGATATTGTCAATATGAGATGAACAAATGCTGCAGACATGCAGAAATGCATTCAATAAGGTTGGATATTTGGGGAAATCCTTTTTGCTAAATTAGATTGTTTTTATTCCATTACAATGATGGGAGATTTAAAGAACAAACGCATATTTACTTATTCACAAATGAGTAATTGTGGGTTAGGTTTATTTGATCTGCCACAGTCATCAAGGAAGATGAGTTTAACCCAGTAATACATTGACATGTTTGGACCACAAATTTACTGGACTGGCCATGTAATTATGTTTTAAGGTAACATCATGCAGGACAGCTTTCTGAAGTAGTATCTGTTTAAATACAATTAAATTCATGAAGATTGTTGGCTGTAGGTTGCCTTTAAGGGGATCAAGCTGCTGGCGATTATGATTAAAGTGATGAGAAGGCATCTAATATTGCCTTGTCAATAACAGCATTGATTTAAATTATTAAACAGGCAAGCTGAATTGAAAGTGAATTTCACTGTAGGCAGAATCATGTTTAACCTTGGAATAGAAGTAGCGACAGACAGCCTCCTGCGACCACGGCTGAAAGTAAAACTCAGCACGCCGTTCCTCCTCAGGGTTCCCCACAACATCTGTCATAGTCTGCAGGAGGAATATAAAACAGGAAGTAAAATTGCAATGCACAAACAGACAATCAGCACTCCATCAGATGGGAGGCACAGCCTGCTGCTTCTGCAAATACCCTCGTACATTTGCATTTTATTGTTCTACATTATTAAATATGGAATTTTCAAAGTAGAAGAAATGCAATATTAATAATACTTTTGTAGCAATGTTAATTCTTTTAAAAAGGAACACTTGGATACAATCATTACTACAGCAGGTGCACTGTTAATCCTGTTTTATTATGAACTGTTTCATTTGAGCCAAGAGGGCTCCTACTTTGAGGTCGCGGCTCTGTGACTGCAGCCAGTCGTTGATGAAACCCTGTGGGTCTTGTGCGAAGCCAAGCATGAACTCGCGATGGATCTTGAGCTGATTGATCGTTTCAATTGTCTCGTGGATCTGCAGAAGCAACACATGAGCAGGCCGTACACATCGGCTGATCTTGTCTGGAACAAAGAATTCATTATTGTGATTCTGAAATTTTCAATGGCTGCTTTTTCATTTAAAAAAAAAACATTTATTGAAACTTTAGGCAATGTGTGGAAAGTGAAAATATGCCAATTAGAAAAACATGCTATTTCAATAGTACACTCTAAACTGTTCCATTAATTTCAGTAAAATCAACATGAAAACATGTATGACTTTATTTTGACTTATACAAAACTGGTGCTAAAATATGGAAATGAAACAATACTTATGGATTCATTAAGAAAGGGAAAGCATGGAGGATGATAAAAGCCATAATAATCTGCAAGGTGGCTAGGCACGTTCATGCTGGGCAAGTGCAGTTGGTTGATACCTTGTTATCAAGGGCGGCGATCTCCTGCTGGCTTGCTGTCGACAGCAAAAATGAGTTCATCTGAGCCTTCAGCATGTCATCCACCTCCACATCCACGTCATAACATGCTGTCTTCTTCTGGTCATTCGGGTCAACACTGCTGACAATATCGCATCATACATTTAGAATCGACTTGTTATATAAATGCAGTTTACCTGATACTATCAAGTTTGGGACCTGACTCGCGCACTACCTGATTGTGTGGTTGATGACAATGGGATCTGGAGGCATCAGGAGTCCATGAAGCCGTTGAGGAATCTCAGAGAATTTCATCCTCGGACAGTCAAAAATCTGGGCAGTGTACAATTTTTTAGAAACAAGTTAATTCAACTTACAATTTACACCCAGCCATCGTCCTCTGATCTTCCATGAACATGCTAATTTATCTCATATTAACATCAATAGCCCCGCCCACTTTGTTTATGGCCCTTCGGCTACACCCATTTCAAACCTTTAAAACAGTGCCTCAGCAGCTTTCCTCTGTTTTTTCAGCTTGATAACTGCTTGCATTGCGATTGAAACATAGTTTTTTTGTAATTTTTATTATTTTCTTTGAACCTATCTACGTGACTTTACCGAAATACACAAAGAATACAATTTTACACCTGTAAGTAAATGCACACCACTTTGTAATGTTATTACGTGGCAGTGGGCACTATATCGATGCAGCATGTGGTGAGATGGGCACCATTGGGGTTCCCGGTTGCAGACCTGCTGGAAGTAGGAGTCACAGTTGATGTACTCGCGCTCATGAGAGTCCTGCAGGCGATGTGTCTTAATATACTGCCACAGTGCCTGGATGATGGCGGGCCGAGTCTGGGTGTGGATGCCCAGCAAGCGAGCCAGGTGTGAGTTCAGCTTAAACTGTGGGGGCTGTGGAACACGGCGGTGGAGACAAGCAAAGTTCATTTGCAATACACTGAAAAAACAAACATTCCGTATGGATTACATTAAGAAATTACAAGACTTTTTCACAATAAAATCAGGACAGTAGATTGGTACAATGTTGCACTTAAATGCACACTTTGACATGCACTTTTAGCTTGCTTTTAAGTACACCACATTAACTGTTTAAGACAACATAAAAGGTTTACATTTTCATTCAACCTATATTTTACCAGCAACCATGTCCACAAACTATCCAACTTGGAGGCAGTTCAACACTGTTGATTGTAATTTTAAGTTGTCATCACTGACATAAAAATTGTACATATACAGTATCAAAATGCTACGAATGCATTTTTAGATGCCATACAGGGTAAATGTCTCAAAAGCCAATGAAAAATAATATTAACGAAAAAAACGAAAAACGCAGGTTGGGAAGACTGAGCAGTGATATGACACTGCACAAAATCAATCTCAACCACCATAATCCCACACAGATTGTGAATTGGACTGAAACACATCATTAGAGATTGATGCAACATCTCTTATGCTACCAGGAGAAGGAAATGGGTGGGGCAAAGGGTGGGAGAAATTACAAATGCCATTATGTAACCATTGAACTTAAAACGTGGGGAGGGAAATCACCATGACCCAATATGAGAATCAGAATCAAGGGTAGCAGAGGAGAAGGAGCAACCTCTCAATGTTATAATCAGACTCCTGGCCATACCTGATAATCCAGCATGAGAAGCACTTTGCAACGAACGTTGACGTCACCTGGACGCTTCACCTGGAATCCGTCTGTCTCCTGGGTGGAGGATGTGCGGTGCCACTGAAACAGAGGAACAGTTAAAAAATCATACATCTCCCACCACAACACAAACCATTAATATCTGCTGGAAATTATAATTTAGTTTTCAGCATATGTATATGTCCAAACTTACGGTAATGTGTACCCAAGATTAGACTGCAAGTACTGTGAATGCACCTGTTGCAGAGGTCCACTGTTTGAATCCAGCAGGCCGCCCTGGTTATTACTGAGTGTACGAACTATAAAATGTGCTTTCAGGTTCAAAATTGACGTTAAAGATCTCCTGGCATCATTTGGAATGAGTAGACCATTGTGTGCTGGAATCATGGTCCAAATAAAAAGGTATATACAAATTTACAATTACACATTGCAATCAACGCCCCAATTGGCAGACTAATGCAGGCCAGGTGCATTAGTCTGCCAAGTGCCTTTTAAACTACTTGCATCACAATAATTCATATTATAAAAGCAGTGTATGCACGTCTTTATTTTAATGTTTTTTCAAGCAAGATCTGTGCGTTATTCCGCCTATAGGGAAACATCAATAGCAGGAGTATTGTGGAGGCTTTGGCAGTAAGATGCAGTGTGCTTTCAAAGGAGTTATGCAAAACTATCACCGTTACTACTACCACTGTTGCTACAATAACGATTGCTGCTGCAGAATCTTGTGCAATGAACAAAACTATTCAGTATATAAAAACAGGAAGTCACTGCACCACAAACAGTTATTCTGCTGTCAGTTGACTGGTATTTTACTAAATCTGCTATTAATAACATACTAAATTATATATTAAATTACAAGAACACAATGGGTATACGCTGCAAAGCTTAGCAGTGTTCATTGGAGCGCTGTCTTTCTGACAGTTGTTTCTTCACCTGAGGAAGGCTACTTGTGTTGTGGCCAAAACGTCGTGAGAATTTTAATTTGTATTATTTTATTATTTCCCTTCTACGTGACTTTACCGAAAGAACCAAGAAGATAGTTACTACTGGCCAAGACTAAGATAACCTATCGAAATTAAGAGAAATTAAAATTGTAACGTTTGGATAGCTACAGGCTTAGTGCTGCTTGGAAGCAAATAATCAAATAATACATTGTGCAAATGCATGCCTATACAGCTCAGCAGACATCAATGGGGATTACCTGTACGGAATCACAGGTACTGCTATTTTAATGCATGCAAACGACAGGAGGTACAAGAGCAATGTGCATGCATAATGTACGTGGATTACCATATGAATAACCCCAAACGGCAATGGATACCCATTGTAATTTATATCCACTCATTAACCCCCCCCCCCCCCATTCGCACATGAAAGGCTCACAAGTGACGTCCTCACATCTATCCCTCTATTTAAGGAACAAAACAGGAGGATTTCTCCACAAATCTGGTTGTCCCCCTGATTGTTGTAATTGCTAGTTGTAATTGCTGGCGAAATTTTGTACTCCGATTGTAAATTGTGAATTTGCTCTCCAACACACCAGTGTGCTGTACTAGTAACGAATTGGCATATTCTGTTTAGGTGACAAACCTTACTAATTGGCTGTGTCGGGTGGAGGCGGATTTAATGAAATGTATGCGATCTAACCCAAAAAACTATATTATGTTGTGCAGTGTTATATATCTTGGGAATGCTGTGCCTATGAATGTTCCTGACAATCTAATAATTGACTTAACTCGCATTCGTCAATAACACTACATTAAAAAGTAAAAACGTATTATTAAATATATACAAAAATATACGATTTGGAAATGGTCATTCTTCACACTATGAAGGGTTATTTTCCAAAACATTGCCAATTATATATTCTTCCTTTTTAAGGCAACGATGTGCATCACTTCCAATGCAGTATCACCAAATAATTTTCTAAACAATTAACTTCAGTTCCTCATATAAAAAAACAAATCCAAGATGTTCATTCTAGTTGTATCATCCTTCAGAGACGCCGCGATGGTACCAAATCACACGGCAGTACAAATGGAATGAATAAATGCATCAGCTTCCCAGTAAAACCATGGATGAAAAACATGTCTGAAAAGAACATTTTTGCAATCGTGTGTGCAGCTGGCTGAAGCACCCACGTAATTGCATGGCACAATTTCGAACAAGAGAAAGGCATTTGTAACAGACAGGTGCTGTGTGGTGGAATGGTTCGATTCAGTAGGTGTCATGTCCCATCACACTACAGAAAATGTTTACCTCCACCAGATGGTTGTCAGGTCCATAAAGGTCTTTGTCTAGCTCAATAACTAGACTCTTGAAGAAAGATGAGAATTTTCTCTTCTGCTTGTTGGCATCAAACTTGGAAGAGGCAGGCTGACAGCAGAAATATGCAACACAATGCAATGAATGCATGACACATTTTACAATTCAAGCAATAGAAAGTGTATTATTAAATCAGCACAGAGCTTGAGGGCACAATGATGCAATATGAATTGCAGTAATGTATTTAAATTCTTATTGCATTTTTCCAGTGTGTTCGTCTGCTTGTTGGCATGTTTACAACAAAAATACCTTGACAAATTATAAATATGCAACAATTGGCCTTATAAATGTAATAAAGTTTGTCTCATATAGTTCAATTTTTAATGAAACAAGCAATAACCCTCACATCATCCAGCAGTCGTCCTTCCACACGTAGTTCCCATGATGCCACACTGCCTTCCTCATCGTCTGCATCTGGCTTAGCTGGGTTGAACGTGTTCGAGATGAAAACCCGCAGCTTGCGCTTTTGCTGCCAGCACAATACACACATGTCAGAATCATCACCCCTCTCTTGCTTTAGTCCCACCTTTTGCTGTAGCGGAAACCTTCCCGATTAGTTTGCATCAGAAAGGAAATCCTGGAACACTCGGCAGGTGAGCAAACTCAATATTTCACACATTCCTCTTTAAAATTACTCATGTAATTTGGAATTATTGCTTGGTTCAGTGGCTGAACTAGTTTATGCAATATTATCTCCCTTAATGTATACTGTTTAAAATTATTTTCAAAAGTGAAAATTTAAAACGATATCCTGGCCAAAAGGAAGCAGTGCCACACATCACCCTGTGACTGCAGCTGAATATAAGTTATTATAACCAGTGCTCACCTGAGAATTGCTTTAGAGAATAGGCTATAACTAGATAGATTAAAATGACAAGACATGCTGCCAACAAAGCTGGAAAACATACGTAATAAACAAAAGTTATTTCAGAAATGCCTTTATTTTCACGAGCAAACTCGAGCATTTTCTGAATCCCAATCCTTTTTAATAATAACAATTTTAAATACAAGGCATACATTAGGGAAAAGCGTTTACAATTTATATATTTTTTAAATATTAAAATTAACAGGAATTGAGTGTGGGTAATAAAGTTTTAGGATTTAATAAAGTCAAAATACATTAGCCCTCGGACCTGAAGAGAAACCTAAATACATTGCAATATAAATATAAATTTTCCAGAGTCTACATATTTCGACCGGATGAAGAATGGGTTAAGGACCTCACACTCGTGCCGTTTTTTTGTTGAAAATTTAATTTGCCGCTCAGCTGCCAGACAACGGGGACCGTTTTATAAAATCTCCTTATAGGCAGGGAGAATGGTGCAGGCGGTGGGGCGGTGAGGGAGATGGGGGGGGGGGGCGCCCGTATGTGACGAAGCGCTTGAGTGGGAAGGCGAGCGAGCGAGCGTGCGCACACTAGCGCCACTGGGCCACGACGCGGCGGTGCGAGCTGTCAGGGAGATAGATGGCAGCTCCATCATACATCTGCCAGTGGGACTGCGCATCTCCCTTTATACACCCACCCGGATAAACAACAACAAGCGTGCCCGCCCATCCTGCGCAGCCGCCCGCATCTGCCGCATATGGCACCCGCAGCCACGCTCTATTTCTACACCTTTCAAAGCACCGCGTTGAGGTGAAAGCATCCACCAGTGCCGTACGACTTTCCACGCCAATCACGACACTTTTGTATTCGTGGAGCAATTTCACTCAGTGTAAAGCAGTCTGTAAGGACAGCAGGACTTTGTGGAACTTTTCAAAAATAACAATTCTGCATTTTGTTTAAAGCTGATGGAATTAAGAACACAATATAAAACTTTTGGACCTTACACAATTGCATTCTTTTTTACTTTGTATACAAACGTGTTATGAAATAAAAAAAAAATCGTAATTCCATTTCACATACCATGCAGCACAATAATAAAAAGCAAGAAGCATGGGCAATTTCATATCCAAGGCAACACCTTCATTGGCCTCTTGAGAGCTTCCTGGATGTCCAGACGTTTGCGCATGATGGTCTGGTCCAGCTTGCGCTCAAAAGCCAGCAGGTCCATGTAAGCCTGTGACTCGGGAACAAGCTCCCGCACCTGGATGTGGATGCGCACATGCCCGCCCACGCACTCAACCGGGCTCGCCGATGAAAACATCTGTCGCGCTAAATGCATATTTGATTAATTGGTCTGGTAATATTTTGAAAATGGCTACTATATAAGCTATCAATACGTTGCACGTATCTGCTTAAGGTCGGCTCACAAAATGGTCAGCAAAGAGAACCGTGTTTGTTAAGTGCAAGACATTTGGTTATTTATTAAGAGGGCTTCCAATTACCATCTTGCTTTTCATACGAGCAAGTTAGATATTTAAATTATTATATTCCATGCCGAGTTTGTATTAAACATTTTCTTGTTTAGAGAAATTTAAAATATATACTTTTTTCTACACAGACCTCCAGGTGTTGTCAGCTATGTGAATTAATCTGTATTCTCAACCTGTTATTTTAAGTAAGCGGCTACAGAAATAAGGTGCACGAGGCAAATCCTTAACAAACTTTTGGATGAATGAAGCTCATTGAGCTCCCATGATTGCACAAGAGTTGAGGGGCGCACGGGAAAACATTCCAGTTATTATTCCAAGGGCGCTCTCTATTGAAAAGCTCAGAAATCTTTTATAACGTGTATCGAATTAACTTGAATAGTAGCAGAAGAAGAGGGATTGAATAATGAATTTTAAAGGGAAAAGCAGAGCTCAGGAATGTAAAGATATCTACTTTCTCAGCGCACGGACCACACAGTGTGCAAAAAAAAATCTTTTATTCCTCTTTCTCAGAACTGAAATCGTCTGCAGACACTGCTGCCATGCATGCTCATACTGAAAAACCCACAAAGAAAAAAGGTTTTATTTATTCAACAGCTCTGTGGACGGCTCCTCTGGAATAACCAAATCCGAGGGACCATCCCCTGTCACCACACTCCTTTAATCGGATACGCATTTCACTGGCTTGCTTTTCACTGCAGCAATCAGCAACGTTAAGTCTCTTTGGATGGTGGAGAATTTCATTTTTCCCAAGTCACGATCTCATCCCAGCTAGTTACCCGCCCTTCCCCCCCCCCCACAGCTCCTCACCACAAGCCAAAGCCAACCCAACCCGTGCTTATAAGATTGTAACACTCGGCTGCCCCAGTCGCCTTCATCTCGGTCTGCGTGTAATCGTGCCGACAATGTGATGAACTGCAGCACCGGTCCCAGCCGCATCGCCGACAGCCTGAGAATTTTCTGGTCCTTAAGAAGCTGGCAATTTTTTTTCCTTTTCCTCCCCTTCCCATCCATCCAACCCACCCCTCTTCCCGTGGCCGGAGGATTTCAGGCTCTGTGAAGTGCAGCTTCTGAGCTCAGATTACGCAGACGATTTGCATAATCAATGCACTTTAACTCCAAGGCTGTAGAGGTGTTTATTTAAATTTTGTGAAATGCCCTTAAAACCAAAAAGTAATCTTTGCTATATTGCACCCGTAAAATAATTGTGCAGTGGAAAATCTTATTTAATATTTACAAGTGCACATTTAGTTTTACCTTTGTCATTTTTCATCACCGATAAAAATACAGAAAATATTTGGTTTTTTTTTTTGCATATAAAAACGTGTTTATTTCACATAAACTGTGAAAACACCTCTGGATATAAAGGTTACGGGAGCTTTGCTTCAGTAAGCCACGTTCTGAACATTTCAGAGTTTCAGAATATTACTTATTGTTATTTAAGGTTTCTTTTTTTTTTGAGCCTCAGACTTGAGCGGCCAGGTTCCAAAAAGGACATCTTCTTGAGGAATGTAGAAATAAACTCAGAATGCCACAGAGCAAAAGGGACCACTGTTTGTGCTGCCATTCGGGAGCTGGACAGGCTCTCGTTATGAATAGGGGGCGAGTATATTTATAGTGAGTCGTAAAGAAAATGGAGGTGGTGGGGTGTACAGTAGGTGGGAAAAGCCGACCTTACCCTCTGCGGCAGAATCTTATCAGCCATCTTTTTCTTCTTGGTGCTGAGAAAAAGGAAAAAAAACGGTAGGAACAGGGAGAAAATATCAGTCACCACGGCAACCACAGAGCAGACACGAGCCATCCATCTGCTAAATTTTAGTCGACACATTTTGTGCAATTCTGCTTCTCCCCACCCATTGCCCCAACCCTCTGCCCAAAACCCTCCCCTCGCCCCCCTGCAACAATCTTCCTTTATACAGCAAAGAAATGTAGCTAGTCACGCACTGCAGAGACAAAAATAATGAGCTTTAGCTCCTTGTGCTAGCGAAGCTGCATCAGAGTAAAGAAAACCTGCAAAAGATGCATTTTTCGGGTAAACCTGTTCCAATTTTGTGCTGGAAATTACATAACACTACTCCGCAGTAATTTTCTACCTGCTGTGCGCTTTTTGAAAGACCCACCAAAGTGAAGCACACAGGCAAATTGCAGCGGCAATTTTTTTTTTCCAGCATCCGATCGCAATACGTGGATACAATATTTTATCAAACTGTTCCACCATTCACGCAGTGATGGAGTTGCTATATTTATAGAGAACAGAACGCACACACACTTCTTGATAGTAATGGGATTCATTTCAGGTAAAGCACAGGCAGTTGCCAGTGGGAAAAAAACAAACTAATTGATCAACCCATAATATAGAACACAAAACACCTCAAAATTTAATGTCCCTATGGTGCATTCATAAATACATTTATTCTTGAATAACAAACACATGTATAAAAAGATAATCATAACAATAGCACTGATATAAGCACATCACATTGTAAAATTATTTATCGAGGCTTTACCTGCGGCTGCGGCTCTGTGCCTGTTGCTGCTGCTGCTGCTGCGACTGCTGCTGCTGCGATTGCTGCTGCTGCTGGGACTGCTGTCCCGGCTGCTGCGTGAGCGGCTGAGTAGCCGGCCGCTTGCGAGAGGGCTCCATGACGGACTGAAGCATGCCCGTGCGCACCGCCCCACTCCCTCCGTATGGGGGGCCTGACGGAGGACCCATAGGTGTCCCCTGAGGAGCCAGCCGGCTGCCTGCCGGCATCCCCGCCCGCTTGTGAAGGTTGAGCACGTGCGCACGCACCCAACCACATGCACACACGCACGCAGACACACATACGGAGGGAAAAAAAGCAATAAATACATGTGATGCACAGCTGCACTGCACTCAGTGTGGCTTGGCATATTAACACTGCAAATAACCAAGCGAAATGCCTCTAGATGTTTTTTTCATATATTAAATTCCCTACAACAACATGTTTTTCCTGCATTTCTTAGGTATGGAATTGCCCAGACTCTTTCTACTCTTTGCCGCAAAGCAAAACAAACACCTTATTCAAACAAGCAGAGCTATACAGCATGACTTTCATTCCAAAGCCTCTTGACATAAAACGTGCATGCAAACCCCCATTTTCTGCCCCCATAGATGAGAACAGATGATTATGAATGTGATTTTTCAAAATACTTTCAATGACAACCGTTACTTATATTTATCACAGAAATGAATTAAAATGGCATAAGTGCAAGCACCTTTATAATGGCAAATGGAGAAGACAGCTGTTGGGACCGTAATTGCTTTAATGTCAAGTTTGGTTTACTCCAAGCATCTAACAAATTCATCAACAGGGTAAAACCAACACTTTAGGAGTATTAAAAAAAATTATGGAAGATGGTCACATCGCAGTTATCCATATCCCATTTCGTTCAGCCTCACTTTCAAATTACAATGTACCTTCATGGGCTCAGATTGCTCTGCATCACAGCGCAGTAGATACCGTACAGGGCACAAAGCCTATTCAAAATTTTGACCCATAACTCGTAACCTGAGCAGGTGGCCGAGCCACTGTAGGATTTGTAAACCTCAAATCACTGAGTACCAAGCAGAGGGACAGCTGGCATGCAATTATTTTAAGTGCCTGCTTCATCACTAGCCAGGCAACCAAACGCCTAACAAACTGAGCGTGGCACTCAAAACACAAAACCACTGCGCCCTACAGACTCGGCCGACATATTCGGTAATTCCAAGACAAGAGAAGTGCCTCTTGTGCACGACGACAATGTGCTACACATCGACAGTTGAATGAATAAATTATTTAAACCTCTCTATTCTTTATGCAAGCATGGCAACAGAATATGCAGTGTGTTACCGGAGCATGCAAAGGGAAGTTAATGGGTATGGGGGTTGGGTTGGGGGTAACAAGGGCAGATTTTTTTTTGGAGGAATGAATTAAAGCGGAGGTAATTGTGGTCAGTTCGTCGACAGTCAATGAAAGCGGTACGCATCCCTCCCAATCGCTTTGGCTGTAGACTTGGAGCGAATCCAAACATCAGAAAAAGGGGGTATTGGGGGAGGCAGTAAGAATGGCTTGCACAAAAAAATAGGGCCGGGCATCACAATGCATCTAAAACCCTTCCCAAAAGAGGGTAATAAATGAAACCGAAAGATCTCCGTGGGATTTATCCCAAGTTTGTTCTGGCCTCCCATGTACTTACGTGATGAGGTTTTGTAATCAAGAAAGTGTTATTTTTTAAAATAATTTTCCAAACTACTTGAGAAGCCCCATTAATGTAAATCTGCATTACTTTTAAGCAAAGGAAAAACTTTCGACATCTCGTCACTTCCATGGAGAAACTCCTGTTTAGCTGGGAAAGCTGCAATGCTACACAGTCACTTTAAAAGCAGCTTTGCCGTGTTTCACTCTTCCCTCAGTGTAATATGGCAACTGTAAACATGGTGCGAATTGGCAAAAATAATTTACATTCCCAATGGTAATTAGCAATGCGTTTATCCAATTATTTTTCAAATTAGTGGCTTCTTTAACACCTGCCCAGCTGCAGTCTGCCTATCGCAGTCCATCAGGCATATGCTTACATCGGCTCCTACTGTACATGTGCCTAATCTCTGCAGGCAGGCTCCCATGGGAATGGGATGGCGGCAAAGCCATTATGGAAAGCTGCCGCCACCCCACAGGGCTCTGCCTGGGACTTAAATTGGATTCTCCGTATTGATAGATTGCCCGGCCATCAATTGTGGCCGCCTGGGACCAGCCACCTGCACTTGGCTTTAAAAAAACCCTGAAATGAAATTCTTACAGTAAAATCCTGCCAATCGTGACGATGAGCAATTCTTACCACTTTACGTTTGTGGCAGAGGCGGCGAATACTTTTCTGAAGTGTTGTGAACACAGATGTGTGGGACATCTGAAATGCCACAAGGCTTGGTTGATCCATAGCAGCTTGCATTTGTTTTTGTGAAAATTGCTTTTTTGTAAAAGTAGTTTCAAAAGTTAGAATTTCAGACACAGTTACAATGCATTTCTCAAACTGCACAATGTATTTGGGTAGATGCAGAGTTATGCAGGCCTGATGTCAAGATTTTATTACATTTCATCCATTTTGAAACTACTTTTTCATTATCACCACATTATTACTTTTTACAGTTTACATAATTTACGAAACACTAATGGCACATTTTTATTTTAGTGCAATATGTTACATACATAGCACCAGAAGGCATAGTAATTTAAGGTGAGCAGCACAACTGCTGACAGAATTTTTATGAAACTTTAATGGACACACTATACCTCAAATGGCAGTGGCTGTAATGTCCGCATTGGAATTCCACATGCATCTGATTCCAACTGCACACATTTTTATTTCACATCTTATATTCCTGCTGAGCCGCGGAATGCTATTTCTATCCATTTATATTAGCATTCATTTTAGTACGATTCTCCTTCCTATTATTACTTATACTTAGTTCCTATGGCAACCTGTGCGTCATTACTTCTCAAAAGGGCAATTTTGCACCAGATTCCCATTTCTTTCCAGCCCATTACTGTGTCTCGAACACTGTACATTAGTGTGCGTGCATGTAGCGCCGTACAGCTGCAGTGCTCCCATTCAGTGGCGCGTCCCGCACGCGGGTGCGCTTCGACACAAGTGCACGTGCAGGGGAGGCTCATGCGCACGTGAAGCAAAATAACGAAAAGGCAAAATTTCGGGTTTCCACAGAGTCATCTACCTTCTATTAAATGTGCGCAACAGTTAAGACAACGGACACTTGGGTTGAGGGCTCGCTCACAAACGTCGCAGCGAATGCCAGCTCAAATGCAAAGCCATCATGATATTAAAAGTGCCCCGCTCCTACACCGTCCCCACATCTACTGTTTTACGCACAAAGAGAAAGGATTAATTTGAATTACTGTACAGTATATTGCATCGCTTTCACTCACTACGCGCTTGCCAGCGACGAAAGAGTATTAGGGCTGGGGTAGCGGTAAAAATATAGATCTGCATATTCATGACAAGAAAGCTATGCCTAATAGAAATACATCACAGTTCTGTATTTCATCTCAGCAGTATAAATGTAATTTTCTCAATACATTTTGGCGAGCATGTGGGCCTTGTTATTTATTTAATGTAACACTTTATTACCAGTGGCTGAGGCATTTAGAAACACCAGAGCAGCCTTGACATACCCTATTAATACTGTTATGCAGAAGCCCAAACTTACAACGCAGCTGGCATTTTAATTTGCTCACTCGCACGTAATAAGCTCTATGATCATAAAGTGGACTCGTAACAAAAATAATCAGAAATCAGCCATACGTGAAAATTAACTTTTTAGAATGACATTGCCGCTTTGAATACTCAATGTGCGCACATTTACAGACATGGTTTTATAATTCCCAGTGCTCCCAAGTGCCAATGAGAATCGCTGGGATTACAAAGCCCCATTTCATTGCCGTGAATTTCACGTGTCAATACGAAAACGACCTCACGTGGCAGCTACAGAAACTGGAAGGGTACAGTGTAAATTACAAAGCTACACAGACAACGGCAAACCTGAATCAAGCACTTTACTGTACATGTGAACAAATCTGCAGCGACCTGAATTGACCACGGATGGCCAATTAAGGTGTACTAGTAGTTGTATGTCCCCGCTGGGGTTAAACAGCTTCAGCAATGCACTCGTAACACTTCAAATGCAAGTGTGCATACGGTGCACAGTATGTCAACATTGTGAAGTGGAGCACGCTTTGAAAAGGGGTTTTGGTCGACGGGGAGACATACGTGCAATTATAACCTTTTTCACGGAATTGAAGTTCATAAGCCACTTTGATGAGTTGCCTGCCAAAAAAAAGTGACAAAAAGTGACCCGATTGAGCAGAATTATTAAATCAACTTTTGAGCAAAATGACAGCTTTCTTAGATTAACGGTTCAGGGTATTGAAATAAATCTAAACACGTTTTATTGATTGGTAATGAGTACTCTTGCAAACATTGACATAATAATCTGAAATCATTGTTGCCACGCAAATGGTATTTTACTTTGAAAAATATGTTAAAAGCTGAATGTGTGCGAGTGCACGAGTCATATGCAACGGAATTTGTTTTTTTAAGCCCAATGAGGTTTGCATACTTTTTTTTATACTGTGCTGCATTCTGCTTGGAGATTGTGTTTTTTTCCCCCTTATATATTGTTTAATGGTGCAGCATTTATAAATGTTTCAGATTAATATTGAGGCATACATGAGGCCAATTGCAGAAACGAGGCTCCTGACCTATTTAAAGGATTACAGACATTGCCAGAATGTGATTACTGTACTCAGAATTTCAAGCCGAGTGCATCAGACATTGCATTGGAGGCTCTGTATTATAGCTTTGCCTAAAAAAATACAATTCAGGACACAAAAGCTCTAAGCTTTAGCAGCATTTAAATGTAACTAAAGCAGCATTGTGACCTGACAGCCACATTACCATCTCCTTTGTTGACATCCTTTCCAATAGCTATAGCCCAGTTGTCAGGAAAGAACCTTTACCCCCAGCACATTTGCATTTCCAGCAGCCAAGAAAACATTAAAAAAGTACTTTTTCGCATAACAGTGTGAATGAAACATGAGGGTTATAAACTGGCCTTTTATTTTCAAACAACTTATATGTAGTAATATGAATCATGCTGCCGAGAACAAAGAGATTGTCGATTCAAATTCAATTGTGAAGGCTCTAGGTCAGCAGTTCCAAACCTGTGGTCCGCGGACCCCTGGTGGACACGCGAAGCTACTACAGGGGGTCTGCGGAAAAGAAGACAAATAATAACATCCTCACCACCAAGGGAGATGTACAATTTCAAATAACTAGCAGAATGCGGTGGTCCGTGAAATCTTTGTAGGGGTTACAAAGGTGTGCGCAAACTCTAACAACCGATGCTCTGGGTGGGTAATGGAACCGCCTCGCGTGTCCACCAGAGGGCGCCGATGAACGGTCCTGGGCTTAACACAGCCTTTTACCAAACAATTGATGAATTCGGAGGCTTTGTTGCAGGGCACGGGTTTTTCTATGCATTTTTGATGAGTCACATGCATGCTACCCCATTATGTAGTGCAATACGCCTAGTTATGACATGACCACAATGTCCTGCTTGTGAGCAAGACGAGTATAATGTGCACTTTTTTTCTGTGAAAGGCAGAGAGCCGACCACATGTTAAAGCAGCTTACAAAGCTACATTTTAACTTTTGCACAACTCAATGAAAACGATTATCATTTGCTCTTACCCTGGTGCTGTGGGCAGTTACAACTCCTTATTTAGGAGTTAGTACCGCAGGTACAGAACAGTGTAGCACTCCACATGTAACATGCAACTGGTATCAGGCTCGCAGAGTTGGCGAGAAAAAAATTACAGGAACAGGACTTCCTGCCTGCCAGGTCATTTCAGACGGCCGTTTTTCCAAAAGCCAATCTAAAAAAGGGGCCAGAACAGGGATTGTACAGCGCAAATACAATTTTAGCTGTTTAACGTGAATTTTACAGACGGTCAAGTTAATCTATAATGCAAAGCCCTTTTTCACATGCTATTGCTTAACACTGTAATGCACCTTTTCCCGGTCCATATTCCAGCCCCCTACAAGGCTAATAATTATATGAACCAATGCCAAGCTTATATTTACGTATGAACGTGCTCACAAACCTTTTGCAAGCTTAAGCAAACAAACTGCAGAAACCTAAATAGACGAGCAATAGGAATAAACAATGGCTGTCCGAAGTACAGTATTGTATGTCAAATTTGGCACGTGACCAGAAACCATGCATACCATATGGCTGTTTGGTCAGTTATATATGTGTAATTTCACGTGACTATACAGTCGTTCCAGTGAACATTAAAACAATCAATATTTTGACACGATAACCCTTATACCGTACTTTTTCCCACTGGAAATGACAAATTTTCATGGAATTATCCTTAAATATCGTGATGTTAATCCTATTTGTATTGCACATGATTGTAAAAACATCAGCCAAGATATAGTTATGTAATTAAACATGAGCAACCTGACTGAAAGTAAGCTTTGTAATTGGCCAGTTCCACAAATTAGGCAACCTCAATCACCATTTTAAAATAATCTAATGCATATTGGATGTAATTTTTAAGGCAATTATCTACAGCTTTATACAATATTTTGGAATAAATCAATGGTTTGTCACATGCAGTATGTGAAATTGAATGCACCATCACCATCTCAGTGTGGATAATAGATCAGTCAGTTCGTTGCAGTCCATCCGACACCATCATGTTTTTATGAGAGTTTCTCCCTTTATTTGTGTGGACAAGTTACAATATACTTTGCCCAAATAAAACAGCACTTGATTATATTCATGATTACTCACATCTATAAAGTGCCCACAATAAATGCTTTAAATTGTGGAACAGCCCAATTGTTATGTATGTGGCTAACAGAATGTGAAAAAATTGTCGTCTAAAATGGTACATTAAAAGTTATTCCTGAGAGGATAATTTTTAAAATGCTCAATACAGTTCAGGTATCTGATAATCTTGGGTTAGCAATCTCATGAGTCCAATCGATTGGCTGCTTGTGGTCACTTGATCAGATTACTGAAGGAGGCAACTTTAAAATGTTTTCCATTGAGATGGTCAGGTGGCTCAGAGGTCAAAGGTCAGAGCACTGAGCTGACACTACTCAGATCCTGGGTTTCAATCCAGGCAGCCAGCTATGATTAAAATGGGTTCTCAATAATAGAGGTGATGGTCTCAGCCGGTCACCAATGGCTGTATGAAAATAAAACCGATCACATTAAATTTGCTTGTGTACATATTCTGGCTAAATTCCAGCTGGCAAACATGATTACAGTATTTTATGGGCGAGTGACAAAGTGCTGTTTCTCATGTCTGGACCAGAGGTCACATGAGACTTCAGAGGTACCTCTGTGGTATCTGCTTCTGTGGGTCATTCTCTAACATTAAGGGTTACACTGTTTTGCGAGAGCTCAATATTGTGCCATCGGTATCATGGATATAACATCAACATGACATCGATAGCACAATTGTGGAAAAAGAAATGGCAAAATTTGCAAATCTATCAATTTGTACAATGGTTCACATTACCTGTTTTAAAGTTGTGTAAATGTACCACACTAATCGTTATATCACGAATATAATCCATTTGTAACACAGTAATGCAGTATCTCATTCTCAGACTAAAAATATGCAGCGTGTCGCCGACTTTACTGCAGACAGGTATTGTTATATGCAAAGTGCAATATTGCTATAAACCATATTTCCTGCCGCAAGTGCATCCACGTGTTCTCCATACTTTGCTGTAGAAAATAAGTCGCAGCTTACTTGACAACTTCTATGGTAACTATGAAGGGCAATGGTATGCCTGTAACTAATGTTCAAATCCGACAATGACAGCATCATTTAAGGGGCCGTTCATAAATGACGTCACGCGATTTTGGACGATTTTTGCTCCCCCCCCCCTTCATCACACGACGTCACAAAAAGTCAGACCCCCCCCTCAAATATGACGTCACAAAGCTCTGCCCCCCCCAAAAAAACATGCTTCAAATCGCTTTAAACTATGTGCGTATTTAATGTGGCGCTGCACTCTGATGTAGGAGAAAAAAAATATTAAAAAGTCTATTTCATTAAGTAGAACGTGTTGTCTATATTTATTTAAAGTTGCGCATTTTGATGTGACGTCACATTTCTCACCCCCCCCCCCGTCACACATCGTCACAAATGTCTGACCCCCCCCCCCCCCAGGTGCGTGACGTCATTTATGGACGGCCCCTAATGTCATTACGTTATAAATATCATTTTTGTAAATAAGCTACCCTATAATACAGCAAAGTACAGTAGGACCAAGGATTGTGCAGACTCTGCATAGACACACTTATCTAAATTAAAAGTCTAGTAATATATACCGAATGTCTTTGCAATCAGAATACAAGTTGACACTGGGCCTTAATAGGGGGATTGAACTGCATGCCATTGATGGTAAATGGTGACAAATCAGCACCGTAATAATGACCACAGTAAAAAAAACTGGCGACACCAATGCCTAAATTAACAATAAACCCAACAAAGGCAAGCATTTACAACCCATTAATGCTCCGACGTAAAAACAAAAAAACCCATCACCCCACATAAAACAGCAATTCCCGTAACCAATGCCGCACACCCAAATGACAAGGTCTATATAAGAGTAGCCCACATACACACAAATAACCCAGCTGATGTGGCCTGTGGGCATCAAGCGCTACTTGATGCCAATCACACGTGGTGGTTTGATAGGGGAGGGGGGGGTCGTGATTGCGTCACAGAGGAAGCTTCCTCACGTCACACACAACCCGCTGGTTCCGCACAAACCCCCCACCCCCCCTGCATGCACACATGCTCAAAAGCAAACCATTTTGAGAGGAAGTTATTTACACGATTTAACAACAGCCAAAATATGCGAATTGTCACATTTGAGAATTTTTTTTTGGGGGGGGGGGGGTGGTGGTGGCGGGGGGCACGTTCAGCGCCGCCTTCCGTTTTCATTCCACGTAGACAAATCCACGACGATATTGTGTGGGCCAAGGCAAGCGCAGTTACAGCTCACCAACACGTGGGGGCTGTAATCACGAAGAGGTGGAGCCGCGGGCACACATCTCACATTATCATCATCATCACCACCATCACGCCACGTCCTTAACCCCCACTGTACTGGCCACTGTACACCCGGTGGGTCACCGACGTCCTCATCCTCACAACGCGGCAATCCCCACCACCAAATCGGTACGAATCGCAGCGACAGCCCCCCCCCACCACCTCCGGCACCCCCAAAACAACACTAATAATAATAGACTGTAACATAATGGTATCGTTATTTGTGAATTACACCCGTCGTGCGATTCGGTGGGATGCAACAACGTGGACATTGCCCTGCTGCACCACGCAAAACCGCAATAACACGGCGTACTATATGATTACAGCGTACGCGTTATTAGATGAATCACACAGTAGTACAAAGTCTCAACTCCACGCAGTCAACGCTATCCGCGAAACAGCTACAAACGAGGAGTTTCGCGTGCGGCGAACACCACCACCAACACCACCACCACCAACACCACCACCAACAACACCACCAACACCACCACTAACAACACCACCACTAACAACAACACCACCACCAACAACACCACACCGCCACCACCACTAACAACACCACCAACACTACCACCACCACACCACCACCACTAACAACACCAACACCACCACCAACACTACCACCACACCACCACCACCAACAACACCACCACCACCACTAACAACACCACCAACACTACCACCACCACCACCACCAACAACACTACCACTAACACCACCACTACTACCACTACGGCACAACGCGTGCGGGCGTACGAAATGTGTGGCTGCCTCTGGAATTTCTATTGTGTAGCAAGGATGTATATATAACTGCGTTGCTGCATATAGCAGCAGCATCAACACAAATGAACACACACTCACACACACGGTGACAATAAGCCTGCCCTCCATCATCCAGCAGCGCCGTGCCCGTTACCTTTTTCTCCATGGGGGGGGTGGTAACGCCGGGGGGGCCACCTCGCTCGGCCCGTGTTTTAATCGGCGAGGGGAGGACGGTGCTGGGGGTGGGAGAACATCACAGGGAAAGGATGGAGGGAGAAAGGAGGAGGAGGAGGTGGTGGTGGTGGATGGGGAGGCGATATACTGCGCTAAGGAGACGGAGGAGAGGGGAGGCGGGGAGGGTTGTGGGTGGGGGGGGGTAAAAAAACCCAGACGAAACGGGAGAGAAAGACGGAGCCACTAGCGACGCCACTACCACTGAACTGTCATCACCATCATCATCAGCACCACCACCACCATCAGCACCACCACCATCAGCAGCAGCAGCACGAGCAGCAGCAGCAGCCACGGCTCCCTGCCCCTTTCTCTCAATGCGCAAGGGGCTCTCACGCAACGCTCACGTGTGCGCCTGCGTCGTAGCAGAAGAGAAAAAAAAGTACTACATATACAGTAGTGTGTGTGTGGGGGGGTGAGGCAGGATGGTTGAGGGTGACCGTGGTGAATGAAATGAGGTGGGGGGGGGAAGAGAGATTTTCCAAACGCTTACACACCCACCCCCCTCTCTCTCTTTAGCTTCCAAACCACGAACCTTGCGAATAAAAACACACCAACCACCAAAGTGCGCCGACTTCAAGGCAATCGGATGTGCTTGGCGTCGTGTAAATATGATGATGAACCGGGAGCAACATCGATTAATCGGGCTCTATCGTTATTGGGGTAACGGGTTGTTGTACACGTGTGTACACGTGTGTGTGTACACGTGTGTGTGTACACGTGTGTGTGTGTACACGTGTGTGTGTGTACACGTGTGTGTGTGTACACGTGTGTGTGTGTACACGTGTGTATGTGTGTACACGTGTGTATGTGTGTACACGTGTGTATGTGTGTACACGTGTGTATGTGTGTACACGTGTGTATGTGTGTACACGTGTGTATGTGTGTACACGTGTGTATGTGTGTACACGTGTGTATGTGTGTGTGTACACGTGTGTATGTGTGTGTGTACACGTGTGTATGTGTGTGTGTACACGTGTGTATGTGTGTGTGTACACGTGTGTATGTGTGTGTGTACACGTGTGTATGTGTGTGTGTACACGCGTGTACGTGTGTGTGTACACGTGTGTACGTGTGTGTGTACACGTGTGTGTACGTGTGTGTGTACACGTGTGTGTTGTTGTACCCTCGCTGTGTCCACGTCGTCGCACAATGGCAACAACCGCACCGCGTAGCAATGCGCAGGGAATATGAAGAAGCAAAAGAAACACAACCGAGGTTTTGAATCGGCTCTTTGTTTTCAGTTAATATTCTTTACTGTAACGGTGTCGGCGAATAGCGGTGAGTGGCAGCAACGGATATGGTTAATAACACTGTAGGCAATGTATACTGTAGGATCATTACGGGGGGTTACGTTGCGATAGGCCCCAAGCCCACACGTTGTCCAAGGCCCCGTATTGCAATGCCCGCGTAGTTTGACTCTCAATCGAAAGTATTTCTACTTGTTCTTGCCGAGTGTGTGTACGTGTGTGTGTGTTCGCATTGTGTGCACATGCCGCGGCGAGTGTACAGAGAGGAGGGCCTCGGGAGGGGTGGTGGTGGTGGTGGAGGGGTGCCTCTCAAAACCAACAAAGACGACTCGCAAAGCCACGGGTTACATTGCATCGCACAATCTCTCTCTCTCTCTCTCGCTGTCTTCACGCCATCTAATATTGATATTAGAACGCAGATTTTGTTTTTAAACACAACAAAAAACCCGTAACAAACGCGAGAGGGTTATAAGAGAGGAGTGTGGGATGAAGATCGAGACACATAACAACAACAACAAAACTCCGCCGACAGCAGCAGCAGCACCTCCTCCTCCTCCCTCCCCCATCCACGGTTCAGCATTCCCCGCACATCCACGCAATGGTCGTGGGGGGGGTTACCATGGCGAAAGTTGACACACAGGAAGGTGGGAAAAGTTGAGAGGAGCGGGGAGGGCGCGCGACTCACGGGGTAGGCGGCAGCGGCGGCGGCGGCGGGGGGCGCGGGGCCGGGCGACCGGTACAGAGGCTGGGGGCCCAGGAGCGGACTCGCCGGGTGGCTGTGGCCGCTCACCGCGGGGCTCGTCGCAAAGCCACGCGTCGCCATTTTTCAGAAACACAACAACAACAAAAACACCAGCACCACGATGGCGTGGTCCAGCACAACACGGTTCAGCCAGACACACACACACACCACAGGGCCAGCCAGCCAGCCACACACACATCACAGGGCCAGCCAGCCACACACACACACACCACAGGGCCAGCCAGCCACACACACCACAGGGCCAGCCACACACACCACAGGGCCAGCCAGCCAGCCACACACACCACAGGGCCAGCCAGCCACACACACACACCACAGGGCCAGCCAGCCACACACACACACCACAGGGCCAGCCAGCCAGACACACACCACAGGGCCAGCCAGCCACACACACCACAGGGCCAGCCAGCCACACACACCACAGGGCCAGCCAGCCACACACACCACAGGGCCAGCCAGCCACACACACCACAGGGCCAGCCAGCCACACACACACACCACAGGGCCAGCCAGCCACACACACCACAGAGCCAGCCAGCCACACACACCACAGGGCCAGCCAGCCAGCCACACACACCACAGGGCCAGCCAGCCAGCCACAGCCCAACCTACTGTCTTGCACGCTTGTCCAGACTGCTGATGATCATGCAAATTATAACCCCTCCGACCCCCCCCGGCTGGTAATTTGTAATTAATATGGACGGTTTTTAATTTGTATTAATATGACTGACGAGTTGTGATGAAAGTGATTGGTGGGAGGGTGCATGGGTTTGGGAGGGGGGGGATGTTGGGGAGGAAATCAAAATGGGCATAAATTAAGATATGTGGAGGTTTATGACGTTGGAGCGGATATGTGTGGAGTGGGATGTGATGTTTATTGGAGGTGACTTATTTGGTACGAGCCGTGTGTGGGATTATTTAGAGGTAGAGTATTTGCCAACTGTGCTTTTTTTGCAACCGATTTCAGCAAGGGCTGGTTCAAGCCAAGCCCTATTGCCCATGGAAGCCATTTGGTACTGTAATCTAGTCCTATACATATAATAGCAGGCTAATACGCCTATATTTAATATCCTACACCAAGTGTGACGGTACAAGCTCGGCTTGTTATTTCCACTGGGTTGTATTGTTTGTTGTACAATAACCACTGCAGTTGAAATTACAAGTCTCAAAATTACAATTACATTGCGACATAATTCCATTCCCACGCATCACCCCTCATCCTAGTTGGCTGCTGTGTGCCTTCAAACATCGTGAATGGTGCTTTATAACTGAATTGGGTCGTATCAATAAAGTGGTGGATCACATTTGATTTTGTTTCCAAAAAATGTGTACATGACTAGTTTTTTCTGTGCTCTGATTTTCGACAAGTCACATGTTGACATCTGGAATTTGATGACTGTCGTGATTTATTTTTCCAAATGTCCATTCTGAATTTAAACAATCCACAGAAATGAATGTTTTTGTTATCATAACCATGTTAAGATGAAACGTAACGAAATATATACATAAATGCTTCTGTAAGAAAACATTGTTGCGGCACAGTGCTGTTAAGCCACATATGTGGGAGATTAAAACACCCCACTGTGAGAAAATATCTTAAGATATTACTGAAATTCTATATTTGCAGGATAAAGCCAATTGTAGACGAAACTATTTTATTTGTTACTGTACTGTACAGTATTCTGAGATGTAGGTATTTTCTAAATAAGACCGTATCCATGATATGTAAAGCTTATATTGAAGCTCAATTTTATATACAGTATTGTGGCATATTTCAACACTTTAGTTCTACATTGCACTACAGCATGTTGGGTGGCTTGTATTGAAAACGTACAACAGGAAGTGAATCATTGTTCTCTGGATGTCAGTGCCTATGTTGATTGAACATTTTAAATTATTTTTCTGAGTAGAGAATGTCTCGTTTAACTGTATATTTTGGTTTACATCCAGTTTTCGATATTCGCCATGGTAAATATTTCTTTCCATGGCTTGCCCATAAGCCAGAGGAGCTTGTGGTTATATAAGCTTGTTGCTTATAACCACATTTTGTTGTAAACATTCTGAGCCTGCAGGACTGGGGCGTCCTCTGCTGTCAATTGTTGTGTTCTTAGCTGGATAAAACGGAGTTCAGGTGAAGTGGAAAATCAAGAAAATAATTCCCTCAGGATCAATGATAAGTACAGTACTGTATTATAGTTAACGAATCAAGTTCCGTGGTATTGTTGATGTTCAGGTATACATTTAAAAAAGCTATCTATCTGTAAGCACAATACTGTATGGCCATTTTACATGATGGAAGCCCATGGACTATATTTCAAAACTATTCGATTACAATGAGTTTGCAATAGATTAACTGGATACACATTAGACATATAGATACTATTGACATTAATAGGGCTGCTCTTAAGAATGAGACATCCACGCTTTTACCATCCTCATACACTATCCACAGCTGCAATTAAAAAAGGAAGCCTCGAATTTGCATATGTTCTCTGATCCACGTATTCCACTTTCAGTCTCTCGGTTAAATTCCCAGAATGCATCTCCACGTTTCTTTACGTACTTTTCTAATGTTTTTTTATGTTCATCAGAGTCCACGTTTCCTATCCATATGTCATGCCAGGAAATATGCACTGACTGCACACTTTATTTTATTTATTTTGGTACACTGTATTGGTATGTTTCTTTTCATGATCAAATTATGATAATCCAGGTTCACTTTCAATAATTCACCAAGACATGATATTTATCTCGAGCCTTCTATGTAATGTTTTTAATTATACCGTGTAGCTTATTATCATTGCTTGTTATAATGGTTGTCTTCAGCGAATCACTACAGGTATGCGTTCTTAAAAAAAACACATGTTAAATGAAATTTCGTAAATCAGAATGGCTTTTCCCATTAATTTAATTAAAAAAAATCATCAGGGAAGTGTTTTAAATAGTCATTCCAACTATACTCCTAACCTAACAAATATACACCTATATCACTTTTGACAATACAGAAATGAAAATAAATAACATAAGTCATGTAAAATCAGTGAATACACAATACATTTAATAAGTAGGTTATTTTGAATATGTATTTACAAAATACATCATCAATGTACATTGTCATTTCATATTGTTTGCTGATATTTTGTTCCACTGTA